AGTAATGAATTGCTCTCGTATGACTATTATATTCCTAGGGATATAACTATATTACGACTTTATCTATCATACTGCGACATATACATATTTTTGTCTTTATTAAGTTTTTAGTAATTAATTATATCAAATCATTTACTAAAATCTTGTATAATGTATTCTGCTAGAATACCTACATTGCTTAATCTTTTAGCTTTTTTTTTAGATACTTTTTACATAACTATGTTGAAGCTCCTGGCATAAATATTTTCTGTATTTGCTAAATAAATATTTTTCATTTTACTATAATAATTATTGATTATAAATATTATAAGTATGTATTTTCAAATAAATGAAAATACGTACTTATAATATAATTATGAAAAAGGAGAATTAAAGACTGCTTTGATCTTATATGAGTATTTTTATTTCTGTCACCTACCCTACACCCTAACAATTTAACTATTGGTTCATGTTTCCCAGTCGTGCATAAAACCATCCACTATATACTCTCAAAAGTGCGTTCTCAGATCTCTCGAAAAACTTTTTTCACCATGTGCCACCCACGCACCGTATGCGTTTGGTGTATTTTTTCGTATTTATAAACAATATTTATTTTAAAAAAATCTAAATACATCATTAGTAATCCATTTCCTACCATAAAACATAATAAAAACTGTTGTGCCACCAACAACTGGTCAACAACTTTTAAAAAAAGGTGGCATGGAATGGGTTAACAAAATTCTAATAGACAAGGTTAAGCTGACATCGCACTATCGTGACATGACGTTTTCTCAGGGTGGGAGGGGGCGGGATTTTTTTTTATTATTTTTCTAGGATGACTTTGGATATGGGTACTTAGAATATAAGATCGAAAACAAGCTACGCAAGATTTTTTTTCCCAGCCTTAAAGGGTTATACAAGTTTAAGAAATATACCATTAATTCAAAGTCCATTTATTAAATCATGTTATCTATACAAATAACTAAAATTGAAGTGTCTGTTTGTAATGTCAAAATTACAGTTTTTTACTAAATCCATATGAAAATAGATACGGTAAGTACTTATAACTAAAAATTTTAAAATTTTTGTCTGTGTTCCGGGTAATCTCCGAAACGGCTGGACCGATTTAGACGGGGCTTTCACTGGCAGATAGCTGATTTCATAAGGAGTAACTTAGGCTACTTTTATTTTAGAAAAAGAATTAAGGTTCCGCGCAAAACATAAAAACCCTAACACGCGAGTGAAGTCGTGGGGAACAGCTAGTCAAATAATAAATCATGATTACAACAAACATAAGCATAATTAATATTTAAATAAAGCTTTCTCTATATCTTCATTGTTAATTATTTAATAAAAAAAGTTTTTTCTTCCTCCTGCAAAGTTAGACCAAATGGAGATACGAAGTTTGATAACTAAGCCTATAAGCCTAAGTATCCAGACCTGCATTACAGAACAATAACTGCATCACAGCTGTAGATCGAGCGGGTGCAGGAGTGTGATGAGATGTTTTCTTAGTCACATTAAACAAAACAAAATCTGTTTTACACTGTTGAAACGTGTACATTATTCGCAGTTAACAAAACAAAGAACTAGTCTTCTCACACGCTCACAATTGACTAAAAGAGTTACCTAGAATTGACTGTAACTTAGTGCCTATGTATTAAGGCAGCAAAGATCATCTAGTAATATACAAAGAAGACTTTGTATATAGCACTATTATTGGTAGTTATTTTATGTATGATGTAGAAAAGTAACCAATCACCATGTTATGAGTTTTATGTTTAAATCACAACCCAGTAAAAGTATGTTCAAAACAAGTGAAAAAATTAAAAATGTTGTACAACCGACTTCAATATAAATAAGATGAGAACATCATCCGTCTATTCTATATGTGGTAGAGCCAAGTTTCAGCTATAATCATAATTGTAGCACAAATGGGTCAGCTCGACCGGTGAAGGACCACCCTGTCACAGAATGCCAGCGTAAAATAGCAGCTCAATGATGCTGTGTATCGTATGGTAGGTGTAGAGAACCGGAGACCCTTTTTACTGGATATGAGGCATTACATCTTAGTGCTCTGGGGTGACGACTCTATTTGGTGACTTTAAAAAATCAAAACCAATTAAATACACATTATTAAGGATAACTCAAATACTACTCATCAGATATTGTTCAAATTTATATGGGACCACATGAGAATCACCAGCTTTCAAATAATAATAGAAACATCAAAATCGGTTCACTCAGGGAAACGTTCTGAGGTAACACACATTCAAAAAATACAGTCAAATTGAGTGCCAACTCCTTTTTTTGAAGTCACTTGAAAATTAATTGTGGGTTCTTAGGTCTGATGTATTTATTTGCCTTCCTACCTACATCTGTGGATTGACTTTCTACAATCATTAAAAAATAACAGTAATAGGCATAGGCCTCCTCTCACTTTTGAGAAGGGTTTTTAGGGCAAGGAAATATCCATCATAGCGCCCCAGTGTGTTGGAGGACTTTACATGTCTTTGAAACATTTTGCATGCAGATTTTCTCACAATGTTTTCCTTCACCTCCAAGCAAGAGGAATTAACAATTTCATTGGTGCCAGCGAGGATTGAACCTGGGGTGCTAGTGTACTATGATATTGTATTACAGCAAGTACTAATAAGCCATTGACCTACCATGGCTCTCTCTACAGTCATACACACTAATAGAAAACCATACAAAAAATGTGAATGACATAATATCTCAACATTAATTGACCATGTAACATTCAAGTATTGTTTGTAATGTTGTGATGTATTGTTAATTTCATATTTATAGCTTTTAATTAGCATTAATAATTGATGAATTTCAACAAATATGATGGGGACATCATTGTAAATACATTAGTAAAATAGGTTAAAAATTCAAAACAAAATCAGTCATCTTCATCATCATCATCATTATCCATTACCATTGCAATCTTCTCTGAAGCCTCTTTCAGTAATCTCTCACTAAAGTTTGGAAATTTAGATTCAAATTCAGACTTCAAACTCTCCAGGTCAAATTTCTCTTTTTGCAATTTGTCCAGACTTATTTTGGTCTTTTCATACTCTTTAAACTTGCTTAAATCTAAATTAGAATGTTTCTTAATCTCTTCTAAGCCTTCTATTGCATCATTAACAGCATCTAGTAACTGCTTATGTCCACTCTCTTTGTTGTAGCCGAAATCCACATTTTTTGTTTCTAATTTATCAAGAAATGTTTGCTCTGTTGCTGCTAGGTCACTTAAAATACTTTCAGCATTTGAGTTTTTTGATATTTCATGGAACTGGGTGTAATCTTGAGATTTGAGATCTAGTAATCTGTAAGTTTATATACAATTTTATTTCAAATTGGTGATCAAAACTTTATAGCTGCTGTGAAATTCGAGCAAAGCACTGCACAATAGCAAATTTTGCTACACACACTTCTATGCTTCTGCCCAAGTACAGTTCAAATCATAGTTATTGTAATATGAATAAATAATGTATGATTTTGGATCACTAGATCATGTTGGTGGGGCTAGATTAAGCTAATATTTTATTATTTATGTACTTGAAACTTCAATAATATATTACACCATTCAAAAGACAATTTACTCCATAGCTATTTCAGAAGTAGGTCTGTGGTCTGTGCCCAGCAATGGATGTATATAGGCTGTAACTATATATAACCTTTAATTGACATAATCTTATCGCCACAATACCTATTAGGTATTGTCCCATCGAATCTGAAATATCTTGTAACTCACAGATTACAAATATCCTCACACGGTGATGTGAAAAGGTAAAAATAAAAAAACACTACAATTTAAATAGCTACAGCACCATAAAAATTAAAGAATAAAGTAAAATGCTAACCTTTTCTGTTCAACAACAAAAGATATTTCCTTCAATCTTCGATTGGTTTTGTCTAGCTGGTCCATGGTCTTTTTAAATCGGTCAGCTAATTGAGCCATTTGGATGTCCATTTGTGTTTCTTCACGTTCAATTTTTTCTTCAACTAAGCAATCTTCGAGCATTGTGCGCAAGAATTTACCGTAAGCAATTTGGCGGTATTCAGATTCGAATTCGGGGCCAGAGATGTCTGGTTTGTTAATTGCTATGTCTCCTTCACCAATAACCGTCGTGTTCTTATTGATTTTAGGTCGCATAGGAACATTTTTTTCTTTAATCAACGGGGTAGGAATTCTGCGTGAAATTGATGATGTAGTCGGTACTGACGACAACCTTTTAGATTTCGATGTTTTTGGTATTGGTGCGGCGAAAGACTTTCCTTTATCCGACATATTATTATAGCAATAGAAATAAAGGAAAACGTATCAACTAAAATCGTACCAATTTGTTTACAAATTCCGTTGACAGCTTGACAGTTATTTAAATGGCTGTCATGGCGACGATTTGATTATAGAGCACAATGACTACGATAGATTCCGTTCATAAATAAAAACAATCAGATTTCTACAAATTCGTGAAACTTTACGAAACGCATCATTTTAATTGAAATATCGTAAATATAAATCATCAAATATAATATAATACAATATCCAAAATATTATTGTAACCAATTTTTGGATAATCATAACGAACAAAGGTAAAGACAAAAATAGATGTGTCACGATGTTCGTTTCGGAACGAAACACTTTTCACAATAAATTACCCAGGTCAGGTTATTTATTTTTTAATTTATAATTTATTACTACGCTTTGATTACGCTTTACAGGTAAGTATGCTAAGCAATTAAGTAACTTTATGACAAATAATAAAAAATAAAAGGACAAAATATGATTATGCACTTATCAAAGACCTTTCAAAATTTAAAAAGGTCATCAACCTTACTTATAATAATAGTTATCGGAGCTTGAATATTATTATCAATATTTATTTTTATGTAATCACTTCGTATTTATAGTCTGCTTTTTGTTATGGAGTGTTAAAAAACATATTTATTGAGCAAAACTTACGTTGAAATAAACAAATAATCTCAAACTATTAATAGGTATAACATACCATTCTCAGTGTACCAGCTACCAGCGTGTGAAGCATTACGGCAAGTCATTTTATTTTAATTTTTAAGTAAACTTGAAAATTAAATTTACGATCACAAAAATAATACTTTTACTATGACCATAGACAGTACAATATTGATTGACGTTTGAGTTTGACGTTTATGACTTTCTTTTTACTTTGTTTTAGGACTCTCATGGATGTGTTTTTGCCAATATTAAATAACATTATCACTTTGTTAATTGATTATACTTATTATGGTACGTGAATCACACTCAAATTTAATATATTGGAACTTGGATATTAATTTTCGTATTAGAACTGATCTACTTCGCACGTTGGTTCCAAACAGTCTCACCCTTTTTTTTTAACTGTCCGAAGAATAGGGCCAAATATATGAGCGTTTCCAATGGTGCCCTGCTATTGGTTGACAGAAACAAAAACCTAAACTTTGCTAAATAAACCTTTTTGTGTCTTAGTTTTTCTTTTTTTTTATATTTAGGATAACAAAACAAAGACTATATCTAAAAGCGGATGTAGGTAACGGGTTAGAAAAAACTTCATCTAACTTCTCCCCTTATTTCATTTAAAATACTATAACCATGAAAACTATCAAAATGTCAGTTATTGATTTTTGGTCGTGGAAGGTATTGGGGAGATCTGCCGCCAGGAAAGGTGTTTAGTCCGGGATATAATCATGTTCTATATAAACCGGAGTAGTTCAGAAACATCGATAACGTAATTCAGGCTTTGGTCCTTTTTATAGTGGGGCGACGCCAGTACCGCCACATCACCCTAATAATATACAATACTTATTACAATAAATAATAATAAATAAAACTTTCGAATAGGCATGGGTCGTATTTGCAAAACTATTAAGGCTACCAAATACGTTCATCCTATAAATACCAACGCAAAAACCAGGATTCCAAGTTTCTTGTTTGCAGGTAAACTATAAGAAAAAATCAAGAGCCGCTCGGGGGAATAAACGAAATACTTTTTAACTTCGAATTACTTTCACAGGAAGATTTATCACTTTATTTTTTGAAACTACATTTCTCCCTTCTTTTATACGATTGTTGTAATTAAAAATGACGACAAATTTAATGTGGTTTCATTTTGCTTATTAAAATACTGTGTCCTTATACAAAAATTAAAGAACAAAAACTTTTAGTTATAATATCTTTGGAAAAAGTCAAAGATATTGGATACAGTGTGTAACGAAAAACCCGTTGGTCGCTTCAGGGACGTATGGATGTACACATAGGCATGGCAATTATGATAATGAAATTTATTTTTGGTTGCTTTAAATGGAGCTTAGAGATTTTAATCAGATAGCTTACTAAATTAAATATTTCTACAAATTTTATTTGCTTCTGAGCTTACCGACACGTGCCGACATATTATCTACGGCAGCTGTAAGGTCACTGACATGGCCACCACAAAGTAAGCCGCTGCGCGTCGTGAGCTTCCCCAAGGTTTTTGTGTAAATCGTTATACCTATCTAGACTCAGTTACCTGCTCAAAGTTCAAAAACTTTATTAAACAAAGTTTGTTTTAAAAGGGTTATTATAATATTAAGGAATTTATGGATGATAATAACCCCTAGGAATTAGTGTGATATTCCTAATTTGTTTTTTGTGGTTAATTGTACAACATACATGATTGTAAGCTGTTATTTAAAAAAAAGGCCTGGGTTTTTACCGGTTCTTCTCAGGGTAGAGGTTTTTTTTTCGAACCAGAGGTAATTAAACAAAAGAGTGACTTTCAATAAGTATTATTTGTAATCTACATATATTGAATAAGAAAATTCTATTTCTGTTTCTGTTTCTGTTATCCTCCAAAAATTTAAATTTAGAGATAATAGAAATTATAATGAAATATATAATTTTTTTATAATGTGCTGGCAACTTATGAATATTCCATTTCCCTTCTTGAACACTTAATAATATTTAATATGTTAATATTTATATTATATTTTATAATATCTAACAAATATCATTTTACGAGGCCACTTAACGAGAACGATTCTTAGACCCTGTAGTGTTATGCTACTTACATATCATTTTACATTATTTTAAATTCATTTTTCCATTCTGTTTCGATTTTCTGCATTCACCTCAAAACTGGATATTTTACATCACCTTTATTTCCATAGGATCCTGTAACGATTTTAAACCATAAGAACACAATAACAAATCATTTCTACTTCGTATTTTCACATTATCAGCACTTTTAAATTGGTGTCAATGGAGTCTACCTTTTTTCGATCTTTTAGCTAGTTTTCCGTAACTCTACAATCTCGGGCTTTGTGTGGGCAGCTGCGCTACCTTTTTTCCTATATCAATAATATCTCATTTTCCACTTAAATCTTACCGTTTTCTTATTATAAACCTAAAACCAAAATTTGACATGTTTTGACATTGCTATTTATTTCGTTTCCATAGTAATTATATTCAAATTTGCTACCGATCTGTTGTTCCTATTTCGATAATTCCACATAAATACTCTTTTCTCTTGACCATTTACAAAAAATTTGCGTTTAATTTAAATAATTTTTCCGTTCTCTCTAGAAAGGTATAAAAGCCGAACAATCGGTGAAGAAAAGCAGTCTCGCTTCAGTTCGCGAATTGGAAGTATCTCCTAAAGGCCTTATCCCGGGGCCGCATTGCCCCGGGATCCTGCAAGCCTCCACCTACACGTGAAGTCTTCGGCGAAGCCTTCTTCAAGCGCGGAGCCGCACCACTCCGGAATCCTACAAGCCTCCATCTACCTCGGAAGTCGTCGGCAGTCTACTTCAAGCGCGGGGGCCACACTACTCTGGGCGCTACGACTGCTTACTCCAGGCGCCGAGTGCACCTACCGCCGGCGCTACCTTTGGGCGCTGCAACTGCTGGCTCTAAGCGTTGAGCGCCCCTTCTCCAGGCGCTACGTGCGCCGGCTCCGGACGCTGCGTGTGCTGGCTCCAGGCGCTGCGCGCCGTCGCTGCTAAGAAACCTACCTCTACAAGCGCAACCGGCGTGTGCTGGCTTCAGGCGCTGCGTGCCGTCGCTGCTAAGAAACCCACCTCTACAATCGCAACGTGTGTCGCTTCGACTTTTAGGCTCCACTACAACTCTATATTCCCCTATTCTCCTACCTTTATTTTTTTTGTAATCTAATTGTACTCTCACTTCATTCATCATCATCCTCATTTCATTTTTTTTATAAAATTGTAAATATCTTTGAATTTTGAATATATTTTTGTTTTTTGTTGTATTTTTGTTGTTTTGTTGTTCTTAGGTTAGATTTATTATTGTCGCTTCACGACAACCCGCTAAGTAGATGACGATGTTTAGACGAGATCTAACAGTTTCTAAAATTAAGTTCATTACAATCTATCAATGTTAACTACTGAACATCGCTGAACATACTGGCTTCCCCACAGGGGAAATAAATATCATATCGACGACCACTTTGAGGTTTAACCGCGTACAGAGAATTGCGTACGACAAGCTTTTGTTTCTTTTTGATTACATTGTCAATGATATTCTTTGAATAACCGTTAGAGACCGCAATTTGATAAATCACATTAAGCTGTTTTAAATAATTTTCTTTACTTAATGGTACAATAAACAAATGATTAATATAACAATAAAAAGCGGCTAATTTATGTTGCCACGGATGACATGATGTCGCAGGAATGACCGTGTCGGTATGAGTTGGCTTTCGATAAATTTGAAATTCATGTAACGACTCTTTTCTTGTTATTGTTAAGTCGAGAAAATTAAGGACACAATCTTGTTCCAATTCAAGCTTAAATTTAATTTTTTCATGGATTTTATTAATATTATGGAAAACATCCAGTTGCCTCTTCGTGCCAGTCCAGCAAATAATTATGTCGTCTACATATCGATAATAGTATAAGATATTTTGATTAACAACTATATGTTGTTTTTCAAAATTATCCATAAAAATGTCCGCCATATGAGGACTTTGAGGGGAACCCATGGCTAGCCATTCTTTTTGTAGATAGAAGTGGTTATTAAGCCGGAAATAGTTTTGTTTCATACAGAGAGAGGTTAAGTTTAGAAGATCATTTGTTTCCCCGGATGAGTGCTGGGGATGGTAGTGCTGGGATTGGCGGCGACGGGTATAGTGCGCGCGATTGAGGGAGGGTGGGAGGTCTCCTTAAAACTGGGTAGGACACATCATTTTCTTTCTTTACGCGGAATTGAGCTAAATAATTTACAACAACCCCATTAAATAATAACATCAAAAACATTACATCAAAAATTACAACAAATTACCTCGATTCAGAAAATATCATAATTATGTTGTAGAGAATAGTCGCTTTGCGACGTCCACATACTGATAGCTGGTATCACCCGCATAAATTACTTCCAGACGGATCTGTTTCTATATCGCAAAATTAAGTTTAAGCCGTGAGTGATTTGTGGGCGATGTATTACTCAAACGAGGAATATTTTGATATATTGATGTGTCTTGGGAAATGTGACTGTAATTATGCAGAAGCACGAAGACTTTACGAGGAGCGCTGTACTACTCCACGAAATATACAATTGCCGTCGGCGATGACGTTCTAACGACTTCACATTCGTATGTACGATACTGGCAATGTGCATGGCCGTGATCTACAACGTACAGATTCAGGAAGACCGAGAATGTACGACGATGACAACGATGAGTACATCGATCTCGACTTGTTTGGGGAAGACCCGATGCGTTGCACGAGCTCGGTGGCTTGGTGAACAGGTAAATTTAACGCTCATAATGAACAGGTATGGTCAATGACTAATCCGCATTCTTATAAACCATGTCACTTTCAACACAGATGATGAACAACATCTTCGTGGTCGTCAAGTAGACATAGTTATGAAATGGTGTTTGTGCATAAATACCACAATCGGACGGAATAAAATTTAAAAAATGTGGTATTGACTACTTAACCGATTCGTTGCAGCACCAATTTTCGACAACTTTTAGCTGTGGCGGCAAACAAATATTTCACGGCACGCCTGGCGTGTCAAGTGCCACAGACTACTAAGTTTAGTTGACATCAAACATCAGTTACAAACGGAAGGATACTTGTTTTTAATGGGTGTTTTTCTACGTGTTTTCTTTGAAATTGAGAGTAAGTGACTTTTTTATGCAGAGATTACAAACATTTTGTACTATTTTTGTTTTATAAAAAAATCATTTATATATAAGTAGGTACAGCTGAATCACCCCATAAAACCTTGGTTTTTATTAAATTAAATTTTCACCTTATAATAATATTTGTAAATATCAAACAATCAAGAACCTTAATTAAGCACTACAAAAAACACTAAAAAATATAAGGTTTATGATTCATTAATATTTACAAATGTTAAATATTATTTAATGTTATACAAATGTAAAAGTAAAATCGATTTGAAAACGTCTAATTAGTAAGAATAGCAAAACAAGCGTTTTCAAAACGAAACAAACGCCGGCGCTATACGGCGGCGGATTGACGAAAGACTATTTATTAGCGATTTTTTTATGCATGAACGGTTTCAAACTGTTTCAAGCAAAAATAAACCTTATACCATATCACAAGAGCACATGGTACTTCGTAGGTCTATTCGGTCATATGATAGTAATAAGACGGCAGTTCAACCATTTTAAACAATAAGACAAACGCATTGTTTTTTTTTTTACTTGTTTTCCAGAAATTTATTTACAACTTGAGTTTGTGAGCGATCGCAATGAGTGCTATTATTTGTTTCTTATTAGACTATTTTTTCACAACATGATTGAAAACCCACAAAGTAAAAAGAGTACTATGTACAAGTCAAAAAAAGGTTGTCAACCCCTAAAAATTTCAAATTTTCAAAATATACAGAAACGAAGCTGCAGGCATGAACTACTTGTAAAATAATGAATATTTTGTTTTGGATAAATTTTCCAAAAACGCAATTTGAGCGAATTATAACGATTTTTAAAAAGACACGACGCGTGTGTCATACGCCACACACATAAGTAATCGATGGCACGCCGGTGTGTCATCCGCACTGAACCAGTTAAGTGATAACAGCTGAGTGATGTGACGAGGTCATGACATTAGTGCAGTTAGTATAGGAATGATGCGCGTGCGCGCCCTGTGTTTGATGTACGCCACCACCGCCGGCCGCCGCTGCTTGCTGTTTCGCTTTAGTTGCTTGATAATTCCAGAGGTAATCAATCCACATAAAATTTACAAATATTAATTAATTAAAATTTTATTTGATTATTTTTATGTCGAGTTTTCTGAAATAAAGTGTTTTAGTGAAAAAAAATTTCAATACGTTTGAATACTGATTCTGATAACGCACTTAACGGGAACCACTGGGTTTTTGTTACATATTGTACTAAAGATGTAACAGGTTTTAAAACCAGATATTCACTTCAAAGTAGGACGCCCTGGTATGAGTAAAAAATACTTGCAAGTATGAAAGTATGTGTTGTTACTTGCTCGAAGAACTTGAACACTACACATGAAAATACTTGCATATGAAAATGATTCATATCTCAATGGTAATAAGAAACTCAATCATATTTGTGAATGAAAAATACTTTAAACTTCAAAGTATTATTTTTTATTTTTACGACCTTGCTCCTTATCCATAGTAGCCTAACATGGAAAACCAGTCAAATTCCTATGCAAGTGTTTTCAAACTTTGACACCGCGGCTGAACATGTCACATAAGTAATAAAAATTATGTTTATATTCGAGGAAGTTAAAATTTTGTTTCGATTTTTTGTAAATGCAGTTGTTATTGTAAACTGATTACCTAGCCTACTGACCGTGACATAATTTTTAAATAGTTATTTCGCATGTATATCCCTTTAAGGCCGGGAAAAAAATCTTGCGTAGCTCGTTTTCGATCTTATATTCTAAGTACCCATATCCAAAGTCATCCTAGAAAAATAATTAAAAAAATATCGCCCCCTGGGGGGGCCTGAGAAAACGTTATGTCACGATAGTGCGATGTCGGCTTGACCTTGTCTATCAGAATTTTGTTAAGGTATAATTTTGCTATGTATATTTTTGTAATTTATAATGCAAAAAGGCATGATTATTCATAATTATTAATTTTTATAAATAAAAAAATAATTAATCAACATTTAAACTAAAAAATAACTTCTTGAGATCAATCATTTCTTAAACATTTTGGTACTATCACTTTGAAATAAAATCTTAGGAAACTTAGCCTCTAATTATTGCATATGAAAGAAAGGATGTGAAACAGTTGCCTTTTCTGTTAAGACAAAGATATACGTTGCATTTTTCACATCTTATCTTGGATCTACTTGTACACCCTTCCATTCTACAGGATCGAGGGTTTTCGATCTCGTCAAATACCGGGTAATGTTCATAACCATCGTGACGTTTCACCTCTGAAGGTACATTAGCCGGTCGGTATCTCTTGGCAGGAATATTTGGGTCGACATTTTCCGGATATTGAGCCTCCAAACCTTCCATGTTTTCAACAGGATCTTGTTCTGGCCTTGAACGATCAGGGGTATTGGTAAGACCATCACCTGCAATTTGAATTGAAGTAAGTCAAAGACTTGGCCCCTATGTACGTGAGCCGTCTGGCAGTGTATTTTGTATAAACGCCAAGCATTTGCGACTGCAAGATCAAAAAATGTAACATGATCTTCAAAGTCCATTTTCTGGTCTTAATAAAAGTTCGATAATACTCGATTGATTGGTCGAGGACGTCAACTCCTCCCATGATCCGATTATAATTGGCAATGATAAGGGGCTACCTGACATCGATGTACGCATTCTCCTTTTCATCCCATCGCTTCACGAAAATATGATCGTCTGCCGAAGTGCAATTGGATGCCGCTAGAACGGATTTGTTGTCCATCCAGTGCACAATTACAATACCATTATTTACGAACTGTTCAGCATCTCCTCGGTTCATTTCACGGCCCTTTTTATAAGTCATATGTTTTTTGTCATGTATTCTATTCATCATAACCGTTCCTGTGCCATGCATTTCTTTTTCAGATAATCTTTCCAAGAGAGGTATTGACGTGAAATAACGATCGAAGTAAATGCAACTTCCTGAGGGAATGGATTTGGAAAGGTGCAAAATATCTGCTGCACCCACACCCAGAGATTTATCTGTGAGTGGGGTGTTAGCCCCTTGATAGACTTCAAAGTCGAGCATTAGACCATCGCTTGTTGTGGCTACAAAAGCTTTCAAGACGGTGGGTCTAGGTTTGGACTTTATAACTTGGCGTAAACCTTTTGGGCACAAGCCGCAGAAGGGGTTCATTTGTTCGTCTATAGAATAGTAACCCGGTAGCCTTTCTATTTTCTCAAAGGCATTTTTTACCTGATTTAATACCGGTTGTACTTTCCATAGACTGTTATTATTACCAACTGGGGCGATATCCACCTCATGAAAATTTGTGCGCAACAGCTTCAGTCGGTCTCTTGGCATTCCAATTTCATATCAGCTACTAATGCCAGTCTCATTTCTTGCCTCCAGTACATATGAAGTCGTGGATAAGTTATGCACCCCATTATAACCAATGAACTTCTTCATTTCTACAGGATTAGTATGAAGAACCCTTCCAGTTTGCCTCAAGTAGTAATTATTTGTGCAGTAAGCAGCTTTCTCATAAAATGCATCGTCAAAATAGTCCTCGAAGTATTCGAGAGGCGTTCTAATTGTTTGTTGTTCCCGTGGCGGAAAATTATGTTCTTTTTGGTCAAATGGAATAGATTTCCATAGCTTTCGCCTAGACGCTATCCCTGTTGCGTTGAGCTGCCTCGGACTGAGCACTAACGCTAGGTGGCGGATTACCAGATAAATCAGGCAGCTGATCATTTCTACCCATGCGGTCCCTCGTGCGTTACCGAGAAGTACCATGAGATGTGCTTGATGCGCTTGATGAACGATTAGGTAGACGATGCCGGCGACTTACAGAAAGACCACGTTGAGATCAAGTGCAGACTGTATTCGGACTAGGACTTATTGGTGCCTGAATGTTAGTGGTTTCTTCTTCTTGCTCGCTGTTAGAAATATCATTGTCCGAATACGACAGACCTGCCACCCGATCTGGTACAGCCTCAATGCCTTCCTCTTCATGACATTCCTCATCTTCGAAACCCTCTATCTCAGACTCGTTTCCGTCTGATATCAATTCTAGTAAGTATTCCGAGGTTAATTTTCTTTCTGCAACAGAAAAAAGAGCGTTTTGTAATTTTTTTTACCGATTAAAAACATTACAAACATTGATCTAATTTTTAATCAGCATAAATTTTGATAGACAAGTTAAAGCCGGACTCGCACTATCGTGCGTGTTTGAACTAACAACCAAGTATCTTCGTGTCCGATAGAGGTACGCATTGAACTATAGTTGTCTCATTGACTTGACTTTATTACCTATTAAAATCGCACAATCAATGTAGTCAATCACCATCAAAAATATTTTTAATCATTACTTACTTTTTCCACGCGCGTCGATCAGCTGCACCGCCATTTTGAAAAGGGCAGAGATCCGCGACAACTTCTCACAAGTATAACCTTTGCGGCAAAGTTCACACTATACTAAACGCTGACGTTGATCGAGCGCGCAAAAATATTTTTGTAAAGTTGAACGCACGATCGTATAAGAGCGTCGTGAATATAGAGAAAATTTTAAAACTTTTATTAATTAGTAGTCCTAAGCCAAAAAGTAAGAAGGGAAGATTTCATTTCGTTAACAAAAAAATTAAAAAACGTTCAGTCTAAATTGTTGCACGACTCGAATTAGTCATTCATATATATATTGACACTAACAAATACTTTCAAGTATTTTAAAACCTGGTTTTCAACCCTGGTATATTTCCATACTCGTACTTAGAAGCCCTAGTATTCAATTTTGCAATTAAGTCTCATCTCTATATTGTACAATATCTTTGGGAAAAGCATAGACTTAGAATAGACTGGCGTAAGTATATTCTAAGTCTATGGGGAAAAGTTAACTTGTCACCACAGAGCACAGAACACAATTAGGCTGGCCACATATTTCGATTTCTGATTCGGTATTCCGAACGCAGCAAGCCCATATAAAACCAAGGACCCACCATACATGAACCGTATTTTTCCGTACGGAATTTTCTCCGATTCGAGATTCCGTATGACCGCCTGTGCGGACAGAATCCCGAACGGAAAAAAGCCGCTCCGAACGCAAGTCTTCCATAGATTTTGTATGAGTCGCAACACACATTCGTAGATTCCGTATGGAATGCGCTCAGTGTTCGTCGCACGACCAAGCGAGTGGGTATGTTTATGTACGTTTTTACATTTAATCTCATATGTGTATAGCTTTTCGTAACCTTTCATCTTATTTTGTTTAATAATTCGTCGAAAGGCTTTACAGACATCCATATTTTAAAAAAAATATCTCTGGATAGATAGATCTTTTTACATAATATTGACTATATTGCAAGCTTAGGGTGATAAGGTGATTCACCCAGTAACAATGATACAGCAACAATGTAATCGCAATCAGAAAATTTCTCATTCGCTGGCAGAATGTCTAGATTCAATGGCTAACGTCTTTCAACTGAGCCTTGTTATTCCGAACGGAAATAAACGTATTTTCATAATAACTGGCTTTACGGCTCTGGGATCTAGCCTTTCTGAACCTGAAGTTACAATATTATATTATAATAATTATTCTTCATAGTATACTGCTTCACAATATGTTGATGCGTCACATTGTGCAGCCATTGGGAGATTTTAACGGTAACTTGAGCCAGCAGACAGCTGACGGTTGGCGATGGTACCTCAAGGCGCCTAAGCAGACAGGCATCTTATTTTGAGAATCACATCACTATCAGAGCACTTGTTTCACAGTTTCCACTAATAGTTCACAAGCGCAGACACTTAATATACAAAATCGCACCACTTTTACATATCAAAGTCCACTTCTAACCATTATTTAAACAATAAAACAGGAGCAGCAAACCGCAGCCGGTCAAGTTCCCGCCAAAACTACAACTTTATAATTTGTGGCCAAAACTCCTTACTATCTACCTATGGAGTGTAGAGTACAAGGAGAACTATCTTATAACGGGCGCAAGTTGAAAAAGTGTCCTACTATTTACTGAAAATAGAGGTTCCAAAACCTACCACAATAGCGCTGGCGTCTGATAAACTACGATATGAAGATAGCTGTTATGAACGGAGTGAAGTCAGCTAAATTCAAATATTTAAAAAATTTCATGACTAAAGTAGTTAGTAAAATGCCAGTATACAAAATCATAACTATTTACGTAGTACAAAACCAAGCGGATTGGTTGGTCCTTGTTTATTTCTCCATCTTACTCTAATTACTTTTGGCGCTTTTTTTTTTAAATTATCCTATGCTACTGCAGCGCCACCCTTATTGGACTCGTTTTTAGGGACACCTTTCATAGTATAGAGATCATAGACATAGTATCTTATAGACTAAACATTCAGTGACATCATCAGCGTGTGAAAGGAATGCACGTATATAGTTAGACATAAGAGTAAGGGAGAAGCAAATCTATATTTCTTGTCTTTTTCTAGGTATGCGTTTTTGATTGTTTTCCCTCCTTTATTTGACATTAACGATGTCAAGCTCTTTTGAACAATATTGATATTATAAGCAAACAGGTAATTGAATTTAGTGTTTTTTGTGGATATTAGTTATTAGGTAAGGTGAAAAAGATGGTAAGTTGTAGCATTTTAGGATGCAACAGCATCAGTCAACGAAAAATTGATAATATTAACTTTCATCGGTAAGTTGTTTTGTGCTTACATTTGCTACTTGTACTGATTAATATCTATTGTTTTCAATATAAAGTGTAACATTTCATGTTTTTAATGAACTTTGTGATGTATTTTGTCAAATATTTGGACTCCCAAATTGTAAATTCTTCATGATAATGCTCCTTAATTTGAACGGTCATTCGAAAGCTTAAAGTCATAACAAACGTGTACTTTTTGATTTGGTAGGATTATAGAAACTTTAGGGATATCAGCGAGTACAATAATGTTTTCGCATTGTTCAATAATAATTGTTATTGTGATTAGTAGTTATGTCCATAAATATGAATCACATAATGTTATACATATACATACACTTTTATGTTCGGCTTTTAAGGAAACTCCTTATTGCCCTACAACTCTTCAATCATTTTCCATATTACATAGATGTCACAAATAATATGTAAGTATCAACCTGAAAACATGTTTGGATTCAAGTACATAAATATTGGGCAAAGTATATTTAATTTCACAAAATATGTATTGCCTGAAATCAGATGCACAAAACGTTATTGCATTCCATTAATTCTATTATACATTAGCAACAATTACATTACAATATTTATTAAAAAAAATATGTCATGCTAATATAAAAATAAATATAAATATAGATAAAATAATAAATAAATAAATAAGTCTTAATCTTAAGGTACACAATAACACAACAACATAAGATAATATTCTCAATTAATGATGTAGAAAAAATTTGATGATAATATACTTACTGTTACCATTAGTCAGTATGAAAAGTTATAGGTTTTGTGATAGTTGCCTAGCTTGGCAGGAGAATTGGCAACTGCAGTTATTTGGAGACAAACTATGTGGGAGGTCTATGTTCAGCGGTGGAGGACATTTGTTAGGCTGTAAATGTATTAATTAACAATATCTAAAGCTTAATATGTACATATTTTTTTAAATGTTTGGTGTGAATAATATTATCATTACATTTACATATAATTGCTATTTAATTAAATCAATTGATATTGTTTTAATTGTTATAGGTATTGTATTTATGCACAGATACACATACTTGATTTTTTTGTTAAATACCTTGATATAAAAGTGTACTATATATTTAATATATTAATTTCTTTTAAATATATTATTTCACAGCTTTCCTAAGGAATCAGCTATCCGTAACAGTTGGATAATCGCTACTGGTAGTGCTTATAGGTAACCAACAAACTTAGCAGTGTATGCTCAAAACATTTTAAGCCTCATTGTTTTAGGTGGACTAAATATGCTTAACTTATGTAATTTATAATATAGTTAAGATAAATTTTTTAAATTTTATAATTTCTTGTTGTATCTTGTTGTTTCTCCATAAGTGATATAAGTTTGATCTTGTTGGTAGTTATGATTTTTGACATTGTTCTGTATGCATTAAAAATTGACTAGCATTGCTTATTTTATTTTCAAATGCTGACATTCTGTATTATTATGACTTGTAATAATTGGGTGGCATGACAATGATAAAATATTTACTTATAACATGAATCCTCATTTACAAATGTTGGAACTTTATCTGTACTACCATGTTTTATGCAAATAAATATTTAAATAAAATAAATAAATAAGTAATTTAAAGTCCTGACCTAAATATACAAATGAATAATTTATTATACAATAATAATTGTAAAACTGACTGGGAATGCCTACCAATGGGACATTTAGATTTATTCCACCCTTAATCCCTTTTATAAAGGTGTTATAAACATTAATGTGTAAATAAATAAGAAATAAATGTAATAATTATGATAATTTCTATTTAATTGTTATAAAAATAATGTAATAAAGATGGTTTTGACAAGAGATAAGTATTACCTATCTAAGTCTATACTTAGGAGTTGTACCTTATTATTTATACCATTAAAATATATTATATACAAGGCAAATAATATTCCCTTTTAATAGAAAGAAGACAAAAATTTTGTTAAATTTGTTGTTTATTAATGTGATGAAAAATTAATAAATAATCGTTTGTTTATTTTAATTTTATTGAATTATATTTAATATATAATTTTTTGTTCATTTGTTTTATTTAATGTAACATTGTTAATATTTATAAATGTTGTGTAAGTACACAAAATTTAGTTCTTTTTCCTTTTCAAATTTCAATATATTTTCATTTAAATAGAATATATATCTTTACAGTCTATCAAAAGTCCACTGTTGAACATAAACATGATTATAGTTATTTGGCATAGTTTCAACGCTTGGAAAGCGGGTTGTCAACCACTGTTTTTTTTTTATTTATTTAGCTGTTATCAGGACAATGCTGCTGTTTATCTTCTTTGATGTTTCCCTATGTCGCCTCATACACCACCCATGGAATGATATGAGGTAGCAAATAATCTTACACTGCATGGTAAATTAAAATAGAATATTATAAATACATTCGTTTTTATTTTATATACCAACATATTACAAAAAAAATCCTTTGTTGATGCTTTACAACGTATATTAACTAAAACATTTTACCACCTTAACCATTAGGTAACATGATTAAGCCACCTAACCATAAGTAAGTCCCCTAAAAAAGGCCTTCCATAGATATCCTCATAAGATGACTTGCCATAGTTGCCACGCCTGCGTGAAAATATGCGTTATGCTGGTTGGCCACCGCAGTTTTTTATTATTTTAAGTTTTCATCGGGAAAGTGCTGCTGCCCCATCCCCATCTTGTATTATTGCTTACGACGCGGGGTAATATCATCCCGTGTACAGACAAATTCTCTTGTACGCCACAACTTGCTGCACACAAGACACTAACTTAGCAAAACATGCAGGAAATCGCGGGAGTAGGCTCATAACCGTGTTTGTACTACAAAACCTAAGTGGAAACCCTTTCCTTTCGAAGGTCTGTGTTCAGCACTGAACTTGTGATGGAATGGTATGTTAAAACATTATTTATTTATTTTTTTGTAAAAACAACAAAACTCGACACAAGGAAATTTTTGTTTATTATTTAATATTTTTATTCTCAATTAATATTTAAGTACATACATAACATATTGTTATTTATTAGCGATATCACACTTTGTGCTATTAGCGCCTTCACTTAGTGCCGTCGAAATCCAAAGAGTTTATTGAATGTCCAGTAAAATCGTCGATGCGCCGTTGAATACAGAATGATGATTCTGTTTTTACGCCGTTTCCGCCCGTAGTTTTTGTCACAGAATGTATTTTCAAGAGAAATTAATTAATCATCTGAATTATAAAAGAACATTTTTTTATGGTAACAATTAAGTTTTTTGTATGAATGTAAGTGCTGTGAATATAAATAAACCCATAACGGGGGAAATGGAACAATATCTGGTAACCCAGTGAAAGTACCTCCTGCCTATTTCTATCTCAAAAGCATACGCGAATGCTTTATCTAGTCGATACTCTATCTACGATAGAGATGGTCCTCCTTCTCTCTACCATCTACACTCCATAATATATCTACTGAGAGTTGTGCCACAGAGTACTTTCTACTTTTTATATTCCTTGGAATCATAGAATAATGTCTATGTTGAAAATTGAAAATTAAAAAAAACAATAATATAATGAACATAGTCATAGTCATAGATTCATAGTTCATTCAGATTCATAGATATAGATAATATATAATAAGAATGAATTTCGTTTTGCTTATTTGATGCGTTTGATGCTTTCTTATAATGGAGTAAAAGTATTCTGTGCTTATAACTTGCAAAGTCTGTTGTTGTAAAAGTTAATTGTTACGGGTCGATGAATTTACAGAAACGAATTTCTAATTTAATTACGTACCTAGTTTACTAAATACTCCATAATTGTTAATAGTCACGCATGATAATAATTTCAGTTGTCATAACATTGTTATATATTATACACTCATCTACAGAACACATTTACTCTCTACCGAGAGCACTCTCCTATCAAAATGCTGGTATCTCTATGTAAGTAATAAGTATATCCATTTTCATTTATATTTGCAGGAAAATTTTTACTTATTTAGCCTAAATGTTTACACAAGTTTTATACATGGTCTATACCATATGATAAAGTGTAAACAAATCTTTATTATTATACATAGCACTATGTACACATTTTCTCTTTATAATTTTATATTGATTCACATAATACTACTATTACTACTTACAACCCATCAAAAGTCCACTGCTGATCTTAAAAGGAAAACTATCACAGCTAAGTAGAATTAAGAAGTTAACAAGTAATACTCGACCAACTTATAAAATGCACTTGGATTAGTAAAAATTTCGTTACAACTCCATAGAAAATGACCTAAAACTAGCTGCATTGATAACTTTGTAATGTTATTGTAAAACTGTTAAAAATAAACATTTTATGAAGAAAACGACTCATATGCATTACTACTATTAGCTTTACTTTTTCATTTGTTTTTATTAAATCTTTTTTGGATACCAGTCCCTATAAGGCTGATTGGAAAATAAGGTCTTCAGTTACGATCTTCCTATTTAGGCCCATTTTTAGTCATTATAGCGGTCAAAACACGAACTCACTTATTATGCTCATTATCAAGAAAGCCCACGTATTGTGACGGGCAACTACAGAACCCTACCTCTACATTGTGCATGGCCTGACGTGCACTTGGCCAGTTTTAGTTTGATTTGTTATAAAAAAAATGCTGCTGTTACTACCCCGGTTTCATTTCACTCTGTTGTCTCATACTACCTGGGGGATAATATGGGTGAGTGGATCCTCTTACGCAACCACAACATTGTACAAATCTTGTAATATGTAATAAACCAAACAAAACATTTAGTTTAAATTCAAAGTGTTTTAATAAAAAAAAAACAACATAATATTTGAGAAATAAGCCTACTGGGCTATTCATTGTCTTTGTTGACACCAAAATGATAGTCACTTTGTTGTACATTGTATTGTTAGTTTTGTGACCCATGGTAGCTCTTATCGAAAAGCATTATAGAGTATGATGCAATTAACTGCAAAGTGCCTATCATATAGATGACAACATATTTAGCAAATAGACTTTTTTCAAATGTGTTTTTTTTTTATAGAAATAGGGTGACACACAAGCACACAGTCCACCTGATGGTAAGTGGTTGCTGAGGCCCATAGACATCTACATCTCTCCTCATTTGCGGATCAAAATGCAGATGCATTGTCAACCTTGAGGACTAAGATGAAATGCCTCGTTTCCAGTAAAAAAGGTCTCTGGATCTCTACACTCTCCATATGAAACAGCAGCATTAAGCTGCTATTTTACGCTGGTATTCTGTGACATGTGGCACTTACCCAGTCGAGCCAACCCATTCGTGCTACAACTATACTATAAATATAGCTGTAGCTTGGCTCTACCATGTAAAAAGTAGATCCACTCTGCAGCTATATTATGTTTATAACACAAATGGGTCGGCTCGAGTGGGGAAAGACCATGTTCTCACAGAACACCAGTGTAAAATAGTAGCTTAATGCTTCATATGTAGCATAATGCTTCGTGTTTCATATAGTGAGTGTAGAGAACCAGAGACCCGTTTTACTAGAAACCATCTTAGTCCTCACGGGTGACAACGCATCTGCATTTTGATTCTTAATAGAAGACAGATGTAGATGTCTTTGAGCCACAGCATCCACTTACCATCAAGTAGACTGTGTGTTCGTTTGTCACCCTTATTGTGTTTAAAAAAAACTTGCTGATAATATTATGCAGGAAGTGATTAAATGTAGGCGACTCAGGACCATGGTTTGTGATATTCCTTACTGGAGGTCTATGTTCAGCAATGGACTCATGTAGGGTTATAATGATGATGAGCCAGCTCATGTAAAAACAATTAAAATGTCAATTAATATCTTTATTATTTGTAGATTTTCTTATTAAAACTTTAAAAGTATTATAGACATAATTAATATATACAGTGGAACATGGATTACACGAATTTCAAGGGATATACTAAAAATTTAAAATTAATAGGTTTAAGGCTTTGTAAGTATTTAGAAATACATTTCACATACAACTACAATTTCAACTTACACTGTAACAAAATTTAAGGTTTAATATTTAAGTCATTGACCTATTCACTTCATTAATATTGACATACGAGTACTCCATCTTATTACAAAAAGTGGTTTATTGACAGTCGTGGTAAACCCACGACTGTCAACTACAGTTTAAGAATTGTCCTTCTAACTAAAGCAGTCCCTTTGCCGCAGCAGCAGCAAGACGGTGGTCTTTGAAAAATGTGACAGTTGCTGTTGAACTCCATACTTTTCGCATTTTAGTTCACATTAATGCGAACTCGGTTACTGTTACAACATAGTAAAGTTCACTCTGAACATAGGCCTCCCTCATAGTGAATATATTATATAATATGTGAACTCATTCGGCATTAATACAAAATCGCATATTTTGTAATAAGGTTGATTAAGTCTACATTTTAAACTTCTTGTTATAGATTATAGGTATGTATTAAAAGTTAATAATATCCTATTAGATTTTCAAAGTCATGAAATTCGAGGTATTATATATTTAGGATTTCAACAGAGGAAATGGCTTTTTTTATTGGTTTCACTGAGGCTTATGACTGTACAACGTTTCAGTTATGCAATTTCCACTATATAACCTTTTGAACTTCTTAATATAGAGTAGAAATATGTATTAAAATTAAATAATATTATGTTCAAATTACAAAGTCTAATTAATTTAAAATATTATATATATCATTATTCAGGACTTTAACAGCATGGATGGCTTTTTTCTTCACTTTCGTTCTTTGATATAATATATATATTATGTTAAGGCATTTGACAATTTTATAGCTGTCAGTAGACTGCTTCAAGTATTTAAGTTGTTAGCCCTGTAGTTGTGTAATGGTCAAATATCCACCCTATAAAGCAAACCATGGGGGAGGCCTTTTTTTAGCTGTGATTAATGGAGGGGAAATGCCAATATCACTTTATATGTGATGACCCTGCTGTTTGTTTAGGATAGGATAGCTAGGCACCGTTGCTGAGCAGCTAAATTTATGGTACAGTAAATTAATGCAAAATTACAGATCGCAAGCACTCGTTGGTCCTGCCGCGGCTCACAGCAGCATTCAGTTCTTCTGTCAAAGACACACATACAAAACCCAAAACAGCAATTGTTATGCTGAACATGGGTGGACCGGAGACAACAGATCAGGCAAGTGCAATAACGTCTAGACTTTTAAGATTTTCCTCATCATTCAACTGTAAATACTGTGCTCCTGGATTTGGGAACATATCTGTAGTAGGAATTTACGTTGATTGCCATTACATGATCATTTCAGCATTTTACAAAGTAAGAAAACCATAAATAATAAAATTCTTTATTGTTGTGTCGTATAGGAAGACCGAAAAACTGAAACAGTAGATGAGCAACAACATCTTTCAACCGACTTCAAAAAAAGAAGGAGGTACTCAATTCGACTGTATTTTTTATGTGTATCCTCAGAACTTTTTTTCTAGGTTAACCGATTTGATGATTCGTTTTTTATTTGAAAGCTGGTGGTTCTTTTGTGATCGCATACAAATTTGATCAAGATCTGACCAGTAGTTTTTCAGTTATCCTTAATAATGCATATTTATTAATTAAATAGAATATAATTCAGGAGTAGGCCGATATAAATGTAAAGAAAACATTCCATTGCTAAGGGTGCATAAATGGGGATAAAGATAATACTGTAACTATTAGGACAATATTCTAGTTGTTAGCTCATGAAGTCTGTTTGTACTTTTATCAAAATGTAAATTATTTCTCTTTATCTTTTGCCAAGCTCAGGTAGCTCAGCTCGGCCAAGCGTCGTAAGGATATATATACAAATAAATAAAGTTGAAGTGTCTATTTGTAATGTCAAAATTACAGCATTTTACTAAATGCATATGAAAGTATATATATATATACGGTACTTATAACAAAAATACAATTTTGCAAATTTGTTTTCAATCTGTTTGTTCCGGCTAATCTCCGAAACGGCTGGACGGATATTGACGGGACTTTCACTGGCAGATAGGTGATGTCATAAGGAGTAACTCAGGCTACTTTTATTTTAGAAAAGGAATTAGGGTTCCGCGCAAATAAAGTTAAAACCCTAAATTACACGCGAGTGAAGTCGCGGGGAACAGCTAGTTTGTCATATATCCTGCATATAAGGTACTTCTGTAACTTCTTTAAGCCATGCTTGGCATACATTAGTATTTCATTCACTATCTATGAGCTACACCAAGTACTTATCATTTGACGGCACTGTGGCGCAATGACTTAGCATTGAGTTGCGGCGTTGAGGACCGCGGTTTCGAATTCCGCATGTAACAGGTATTTGTATGGCCTGCAGTTAATTTATCCTGGTTTGGATGTTTGTTCTTGTGCAATTTATGTTTGTAAACTGCCTCCATGATACGGGAGAAAATCCTAGTTTGGGGGAAATTATTTTTAAATGAAAAAAAATTAAATCATCAGACAGACTGTGTGTCACCCTTCCTTAAAAAGACCACAGATGCGTTGGGTTGAAAAACACTGTGCCTTTGTGACAGAAATAGACAAGAGAGTGGTACCAACCTAGACGGATTTCTCAGCAGAAAAGTACCTTTTTGAAAGAAGACATTACTTAAACTTTTGTGGATGCTGTAGCCCGTAGAAATCTAGGCTGCAACAATAATATAGCTGCAACAAAGCTCTACCATGTATAAAACATCTACTTTTCACTTTTCCAGGTGGCTGGTTACCTCCACCGTATCATGACAGACAGAGACATGATCCAGTTGCCGGTGCAGAGCAAACTCGGCCCTTGGATCGCTAGCAGGAGAACCGCAGAGGTCATCAAGAAATACACAGAGATCGGGGGAGGTTCTCCAATACTCAAGTGGACTAATACTCAGGGTTAGTACATTTCTAATTTCTATTTGCTATTGTTTCCAGGTAATGACAGCACAGAAGAACTCTCTGACCTTTTTCTTCTGTGGGAAATTAAATGCCAGTATTTTTACGGCATCTGAATATTTCTATTTAAAAATCGTAAGACCATAGGTATCCAGAACAGAGACGGCGAGCAACAATCCCAACTAATTTTACTAAGTATGGCAGAGCCTTCATCCTCCTTCTTATTTTAAAAGAAAATGGCTTCATCATTCATAACAATTTTATATGTGGTAGAACCATGCTGCAGCTATATTAGTACTATAGTTGCAGCAAGAATGGGTCTACTCGACTGGGGAAGGACCACACTCACAGAATACCAGTGTAAAATAGCAGCTTAACGCTGCTGTTTTAAGTATGGTGAGTGTAGAGAACCGGAGACCATTTTTACTGGAAATGAGGCATTCCGTCTTAGTCCTCACGTGTGACAACGCATCTACATTTTGACTCGTAATCGAGGATAGATGTTGATGTCTATGGGCCTTAGCCACCACTTACCATCAGGGGGACTGTGTGCTCCTTTGTCACCCTAATACTATAAAAAAAAAAACATGGCAGAGCCTTGAAAGAATTGTCCATTTCCTGACATCTGGATGACTTGCCGTAATAGAGAAGATTTTCTGTAATAATTATGCTAATTTTTCTTTATATTACCGGTCTGTGTTTAAACCTAGCATCCAATCCATCCACTACAGTCTATAAAAGTCCACTGCTTAACATATACCTCCCCCATAGATTGCTTCATAGGGGGAATTTGCTATAGTTACCATGCATGGCAGGTGAGTTTGCAACCTCAGTTTTTTAGCACATTTAATAAATAGCATATACATTTCTTTTTTTGCTTATATTCCCTAAATGGGTTGTAAAATCGTGTGGCTCTACACAGTAGTGGAATGGTGGATTCGAACCCGTAACTTTTTCTATCGCTTCGACATATGTTTACCCAAAGACTATGGTCTTTTTTTCTTTCATCTTTGACGGTGCTCTTTTAAGCTACTGCTGGAAAAATACCTGTTCATAAAATTGTTACTTCTTATCTAACTTATATTCAACCACATTATTGTGAAGGTATTGTTCAAGCACTAAGTTCTTTTCAACATTTTATCCTTCTGGCTCCATTTCAGGTAGGTTGCTGACGCAAGCTCTAGACCAGATGCTCCCAGAATCAGCACCTCATAAGCACTATGTGGCATTTAGATATGTACCACCTTATACGGAGGAGGCGTTTGAGCAGTTGGAGAAGTAAGGACATTGAATATGACTTCTTTACTAATTCTTCCATCAGTGTCAAAACGGAACAGAACTCTTTAACCCATTTCGTCCTGTTGTTGTTGTTATAATCAACTCAAAAATTGCCATATTAATTTTGTAGCACCAGATAGATATCATTGTAAGTTTTAATAGAAAAGTGACGAACAAGGCACTGTCCACCTGGTGGTAAGTGGATGTTGTGGCCCATAGACTTATATAGGGTTATTTTACAGGAACTGGCCAAAGGGGAATGCCCCCCGTTCATAGACACTTCGGCCATGGGTACCCACATATAAAAGCATTTGGAAATGATAATATGCAATTAAAAGTATGAAATGGTTAAGGAATTGGTTTAAAAAAAGTCCGGATTTTTAAGATATAAAGGTTTTTTATTTTCACAAGAACAGTTTTTTAACAACAAATGACTTCATATTTTCGTGACGTTTAAACCACAATTGACACAGCGTAAATGTCGTTTTGAACGAGTTACTGAGAGCTGGGAAGAACTCTGGCCGGTGTGAAAGCTGGGGTCATCGTTAACAAAGCAAAGCTCTTATTTGTAGTACACTAGAATATGCTTCACCTGTTTGGAACCCATCATACCAAATTCACAGTGATCGAATAGAGCGTATCCAGCGCAATTTTACCCGCTACTTAGCCTTTAAAGATCAAACTTGTCCTTACCGTGCTGACTATAATACTAGGCTATCCCACTTCAAATTAGAGTCTCTCGAAAAAAGACGTCGACTTAGCGATCTTAAAACACTTTATAAGCTAATTCACGGCCTCCTACTATCACCGGCACTGTTAAATCAAATAAGTATCAGAGTTCCAAGATCTATACCAAGACATCCGATTACCAAAATCTTTTGTTTATCTAACCATAGAACAAATTTAGGTAAACGAGCCCCAATAAATAGGTTAATGCAAACGTTTAACGACATAACCACCAACGGCGATGTCGACATTTTCCATACGGATAACGTATCACAATTTGCTAAATTATGTAATAAGTATTTATAACTTTTTCTATCTTCTTCAAGTTTAGCATTAGTTTTTTTTTTTTTGTAAGCAAATTACTTGCAAATTTATTAATAATATTGTTCTAGTTAAGTAAGTTAACAACTGTCTTATAGTAGCTGCACTATTTGCGAATGTTGTATATACCTTTAAAGGCAAATCACTTTGAACAAAACCAATTGTGTTATACTTAACAATGTCTAGTGATAAGCCAATGGTGTATCTGTTAAAATAAATAAATAAAATAAACAATGGATATTGAGTCAAAGTTCGTGCAAAGGTTATTGTAAGAAGTGGCAGCGGGATCCATATTCAGGCCGTAGTCAATAGGATGAGAAGAATTATCGGAGTCCATTTAGAAAGCTTATTCGTTGCTTAGATAACAAATCCACGAGAAAACAAACAAAACAACATAAATGCAAAGGAATTCGACTTGTGACTATTTAGTTTTGATAATTATGACATTGGCCTAGTTGTCAGATTTGATGTTGCCAATTAACAGACATAAAATCGATAAATAGATAGCGATTTTTTTAAGTTCTATTTATAATTTCATAAAAAGAATAATCTTTGATTCACTTTAAGTTCTGCACGCCTTTTATAATATGTTTTGTTTTATTTATTTAAATTCCATTTTAAATATATCTTTAAGAACAGATAAGAATAACAGTTAAATTGTGCAGTAGTGTTTTGTTATGGTCTAAAGAGTTCATGGTAAATGAACTAGCAATTTGCTTGTTTAATTATCATAACATCATAATAATTATCGAAATATAATATTACCATTATAATAACGACACCATAAAAGATCGATTGAAAAAACAGAATCGACATTTTTAACGAGATTTGTGATTGGCAATACTTTATTTTAACCACAAACTAATGACTTGCGGATTTACCTAATTTCATTTTTATCTTTTCGGTACTTTTTTTTGTGCAAAAATATTGCAATCTTTTTTGGATACACATAAATACCGCGATTAATTACCATAAAAAAGATGTGTTTTTTTAAGAAATGCAAATTGTTGGGCGTTTCATGGCCAGCATTGGGCATTCCCCTTTGCAGAGAAGGTTCAGAATAATTAATATAGGTTAATGGTGAAGAAAAATTAATAAAAAATCTCAAACATTCTGTTCTTTTTATATTTTAAATTCAAAATGCGTGGTAATGCATTATTTTACCTGATTGTCATTCGTAAATATCTAATACCTACTATTTTACTACGTACTAACACATTTGTAAGAGTCGATCGGTCGGCAAAAACGTTGTGAACTGAATCGCACACAGAGGAGTGCGCGTACGCGTAGTTGTTGCCCATAAATCACATTCAATTTGGGATGATTTCAAATAAAAGTAGAAGTCTTATTTACTCGTATTTTCAAACACTGCAATAACGGTATATCATTGTTTATATATTTGAACTTAAGCTTAAAATTTGGCTACTCTGAAAAATAACTCGGTATGTATCCTCGATCAAGAATCAAAATGCAGATGAGATTTCACACTTGAGAACTTAGAACATATTCACCACCGCTTCATTGTCGACATACCACAAATTCGAACCAAACCGTTTTTGTCATTCATAACATAGCAAAGGAGTGGAATAATTTGCCATCCGATTACAATGTAGATTCCAAGCAAGAGTAAACAGGCTTTTTTTTAAGTTAATCAGTGCACTACCATCTTCTGCTGTATCACCATTTCTTACCTTATATGATGATAGGCGAAGTGTAGGGCGACCCCCCACTAGATGGAGTGACGACCTGGTAAGATATGCAGGAAATCGATGGATGCAGGTGGCTCAGGACCGTGCTTTGTGGCATTCTTTGTAAGAGGCCTATGTTCAGCCGTGGAGGTGTGAAGTGTTGTAATGATGATGAAGATAATAAAGGCTTATGTTGTTTATTGCAGGGACGGTGTAGAAAGAGTTGTGATATTCTCTCAGTATCCTCAATACAGCTGTGCCACTACTGGCTCAAGTTTGAACGCCATCGCAGATTTTTATAGAAATAGGTAAGTACTGTAATATTTTATAACGCTGATTACATAAACGAAAAAAATTTTAGTAGTTTGCCAAGTCTATAGGATATGTAGGTTTGCATATCATCAACTCGATAGTTGCTCGTCGAAAAAATCTACATACTTCATCGATAGCTTTTCTATTATGAGATCTGCATTTATTGGTAGACGTGGTAGAGCCATGCTGCAGCTATATTAGTAGTATAGTTGTAGCACGAATGGGTCGGATCGACCGGGGAAGTACCACACTCTCACAGAATACCAGCGTGAAATAGCAGCTTAACACTGCTGTGTTTCGTATGGTGAGTGTAGTGAACCGGAGACCCTTTTTACTGGAAACGAGGCATTCCATCTTTGTCCTTACGGGTGACAACGCATCAGCATGTTGATTCGTAAACGAAGATAGATGTAGATGTCTATGGGCCGCAGCAACCACTTACCATCAGGTGGACTGTGTGCTCGTTTGTCACACTATCCTATAAAAAAAAAGAGTCACACAGAAACGAACGATTTCGATAAAATAACTGGTATCGAAGTTATGGATGTGTAAATATCTTACCTACCAGTTTTCGTTCGCGCTTTCGTAATTAATTCATTTAGAATGTATAATAACACTGTAATAAAAATATTTGATTTTATCGAAAACATTTCTATTCAGTGTTATTATTTTACTAACTAAATAAATTATTCAATAATATGCATTTTATCTACTTGTTTACCCACCATTTCTCTGTACAGGGCAACAAATTAAAAATCTAACGTCTTACAATTAAAAAACTTACAGTAATAGTTTTGTCTATGGTACCGTCAGCTGTGACGTCATAACGGTCGACGACGGCAAACTCTAAATGAACGCGTACTAGAATAATCAATTTTTTTGCCGTGATATACAATTCACAGACTATTGGATAAGAAACATTAGAAATCGCACAAAATTAAGTAGTAATTATTTGTTGGAAACATTTTAAAATTCTTTGGCCACTATCTCTTCTCTGTTTGACTGTTTGACCACAGCCAATATTGTGTGTATGAACGTAAACAATGAATGTTTTATTTTATGTATTCGTAACTCATCTATACAAATAAATAAAATTGAAGTGTCTGTTTGTAATGTTAAAATAACAGCTTTTTTACTAAATGCGTATGAAAGTACATACGATACTGATAACAAAAACACAATTTTTAAAATTTTTGTCTGTCTGTTTGTTCCGGCTAATGTCCGAAACGGTTGAACCGATTTTGGCGAGACTCACTGGCAGATAGCTGATGTCACAAGGAGTAACTTAGGCTACTTATATTTTAGAAATAGAATTAGGGTTCTGCGCAACATAATTAAAACCCTAAATTACACGCGGGCGAAGTCGCGGGGTACAGCTAGTTTCTATATAAATTTTAGCTTTCCGCACTCTTGTTTTTTTCTAGATGTATTAAAATGTAGATAGGAAATCGAGATATTATGGCATCAACATTCTTAGTGCACACTTGACTGCAGCGGCGGTGTTAGAATATCCACTTCCCCATATCGCCCGTGGGTATAGTAAGAGGTGACTGAGGGAAACAAACCAAGAGATGGGCAGCGGTGTCTGATAACAACTAAAAAATAAAAAATGCGTTTGCTAACCCGTGTACCAAGCGTGGCAAGTATCTCCATTATTAGGCAATTATGGGAAGGCCTATGTTCAGCTGTCGATTTTAAAAGACTGCAATGAATAAATAAATGAAAATCTATAACGACTCCATTGACTGTATGTTCCAGTATGATCTAAAATATTGATTTTTCGATTTTTTGAAGTGGAAACTTATTTTTACAATAATTGTGATTTGAAACGAAAAAGCGACAGTAAAAAGAGACAAACATATACATCTATAGGATTTAGCCTGCGAGAGAATGGGATAGATATTAAATTAGTCGTGTTTAGGCCATCTAGCGTCTATTTTACATTCCACCTTGAGAGTCAATCAATTTTTTGTACGATAAAATGACTTTACCAATAGAATGAAGTAGATGGCGCTATTACAAAGCAATTTTACTCTTAAGAAAATATTCTTTTGATTTATTACACCAAAGTTTAGGCTCTATGTCTAAAAAATTGTAAGATTGTAGCATTTGTTTGCTATAAAATCAAATCATCTTATATTTTATTCTGCACTTGTGTTTGAAAATTATCATATTTAATTAAATCATTTACCGTGAAATATTTTTATTTTATATTTCAATTCATTTATTTTTAATTCAGTGTCAGATTCATCATCAGAATACATTAGTTTTTTTTTAATTCTTCTTTCCAGAGAAATCCCACAGAACATCAAATTCAGCATGATAGAAAGGTGGGCTTCCCACCCACTGCTGGCTAAAGTGTTTGCTGAAAGGATCAAGGAGAAGCTGGAGCGGTTTGACAGAAGCGTAAGGGACGATGTGCTCATTATGTTTACAGCTCATAGCCTGCCTTTGAAGGTGAGACATTCTTTTGAACATTATAATACATTTATATATTTGGCAATAGAGTAAGTTAAAATGTTTTGATGTACCTACAGATTGAAATGCTTTTATTCCCCCAAAAAATTGAAGGTTGTTAGACATTCAATAATATTAAAAATATTTCACTAGGCAGTTTCTTCGTATTTTATGTGCTGCCATACTCTTCATCAGATTGCGCTAAAACTTTCTCAACTTATTGCTTGCACTTGCGCGAAGGTTATAGGCATAGTACAATTAACTTACAGTAGGTGGCGCGCGCGTGTCGTACTGACAAATTTATTTGAAAGATATATATCACTCTATTGCAAAAAATGTATTATCATACCTAATTAAACAATATGTCTTCCAAATTTGAAACAATATTTTCACAATTACTTCTTCCACGGCAGCAACGCGCCAGATAACCGGCGGTAAGCCGAGTTTTTGACATTTTCATGTTGCTGAATTTTGTCAATATAAGCTCTGTTTATCATACTAATTTGATATTACTTCGTGGATAACGGTGCTTGTAACATAATTACTCATGTTATTTATAAATTCTTTTTATTGTTTATTGTCTTAAATAAATTAAAAAATACATGTTGGCACAAATTTCATTTTAAAACATTAGGCCATTTCTTAAGTATACCCATAACATGATATATAAAATAATATGAAAATAAGCATATACGAACTTGGGACTTTGGAACCCGGCGGCGGATTCGAACCCACGTCGACCCTACTGCATGACTGACACGAGGATTTTCTTTTTATAGGATAAGGGTGGCAAGCGAGCACACAGTCCACCTGATGGTAAGTGGTTGGTGCGGCCCATAGACATCTACATCTATCCTCGTTTGCGATTAAAAATGCAGATGCGTTGTCACCCCTGAAGTTTAAGATGGAATGCCACATTTACAGTAAAAAGGCTCCCCAGTTCTCTACATAAAAAAATGTGAAAATTTGTATCGTACTAATTTAATAATAATTTGTGGGTAACAGTGTTGGTTACATAATTACTCATTAACATCATATTTATATATCGTAATTTAGGTTAAGCCTTTTGTTTTTTGACCTAAATAAATTAATAAAAAAATAAGATGTCGGCACAAAGCTCAGTATATAACATTGAATAGATCTTTAAGCAACATGATACATATAATAAGATTTAAAATAATTATGAAAAATAAGCATATACGAAATTGGGATTTTGGAACCTCTGGCGGCAAATTCGAACTCACGAAGACCCTACTGTCTGATATTTGCATATAATTGCAATCAACAATTTCTTATGCGCATCTTCCTAATAACAACTCTAAATATTAAAAACTGCAGTTGTCAACCTGCCTTCCAAGCGTGGCAACTATGGCAAAAAATACTCCTCCCATTCAGGCAATCTTTGGGGAAGGTCTATGTTTAACAGTAACAGTGATGGTGTAATAAACATTTGTATTGTAATGTAACACATTTGTTTTATTAATTATTTTTTTTTAATTTTCAGGCTGTGTCAAGAGGTGACACCTATCCTCATGAAGTAGCAGCCACGGTGGCAGCGACAATGAATGTGCTGAAAGTACCCAACCCTCACCGTCTAGTGTGGCAGTCGAAAGTTGGACCTCTGCCTTGGCTGCAACCCTACACCGACGAAGCTATTAAGGTGTTTTATCAATATTATTTTAATTTAAATAAAATTATTCAACTATTATACGTTTCTTAATTTGAAACGAAAACGAAATTTTATGGGTTATAATTTTTCTGCATATTTTGAATAGATTAGAATTAATCATAATATTATATACTTCAGGAGTGATTTAGTATATGTGGTAAAGCCATGCTGCAGCTATATTAGTAGTATAGTTGTAGCACGAATGACCGGGGAAGGACCATTCTCTCACAGAATACCAGCGTAAAATAGCAGCTTAACGCTGCTGTGTTTCGTATGGTGAGTGTAGAGAACCGGAGACCCATTTTACTGGAAAAGAGGCGTTCCATTTTAGTCCTCACGGGTGACGACGCATCTGCATTTTGATACTATTTTTAGGATAAATGTAGATGTCTATGGGTCCCAGCTAACACTTACTATCAGGTGGACTGTGTGCTCATTTGTCACTCTATCCTATATAAAAAAAATTTGAAAAAGAAACGTTCCTTATAGATGGATAAATATGGGATAATTTATTATTAGTTTTCATATGTGGTAGCGCTGTGCTGCAGCTATATTATAGTTGCAGCACACATGGGTCGGCTCAACTGGGGAAGGATCACACTCACAATACCATCTTAAAATAGCGGCTTTATTCTCCTGTGTTTTGTATGGTGAGTGTAGAGAATCGGAAACCCTTGATACTGGAAATGAGACTTTTCATCTTAGTCCTCACGGGTGACAAAGCATCAATTAACTTTTAATCGAGGATAGATGTAGGTGTCTATGGGCCACAGTATCCACTTAGGCTCAGGTAGACTATATTTGTGCACCTTGTTCTAAAAATAACACTGTCTTAACACAAACTTAAGAAGCTGATAAGTTGAAATTCTTTTAGTTTTGAAGTTGATTTGTACTTTGTGTTAAAAGGATAATTATTATTTTATTTAAAAAAAAATTGTTAGGTTTCAGTAACTACCAAATATAATAATAATCGAAGCTGGTTTAAATATAGTTTAAAATGTTATTATTTTCAGGCATATGCGAAGCAAGGAAGAAAACACCTCATTTTAGTTCCGATAGCATTTGTGAATGAACACATAGAAACGTTGCACGAGTTGGACATTGAATATTGTGACGAACTCGCCCATGAGGTAATATTATATTTAGACTATGTGGTTGGACAAATTTCCTGCCTGCTAGTCCGTCTAGTTAGGTTCCACTTGTGTTTCGATGTAAAGGGCATAGAGAGTCAGTATAAATTGCAGGCTGAGGCATTCCATTTTAGTGTTCAAAGGTGACAATGTATCTGTAGCCTTTTTAGTTTGAAGTTGACTGCAGGTGTTGATGGATTGTAATGGCCACTTACCATCAGGCAGACTGTAACTTCATATGTCACTCGAAAATGACATAATGAAAAATTGTTTATTTTTTTAACAAAATCATACATTATATAGGTAGGTAAGTGGGATATCCTATTAAGTAAATCTTTACTTGTGGCAGGATGACCCGCTCTTCTATAGCAAAAATTAAATAAGCACAAAATAAATTAAAAAAGGAATAAAAGAAACTTCTATTTACTTAATGAGGGTTTTGTATAAGTGTTTGTGTGTGTGCGTGCGCGTCATTACGTGAAATTTATTTTTCGAGAGCGAGAGATTCATTCTTTGACTGTCTTCTTGAAATCATTAAAGTTCAGTGAATAAATGTTTAGTTTTTTGTTGTATAAATAACCAGCCTCTGTTTTAAATTAGTGACTAGCAAAATTTGTCTTGACTAGAGTTAATTAATAACTTTTCCTCCTCTATTACTAGTTTTGCACTTGTAGAAAGTTGTTTTATGTTTTGTTAACAACATATTTAAAATGTATAAAATTCTAACAGTTCAGTTTTCTACCGACTTCAAAAAGGAGGAGGTACTCAATTCTACTGCATTTTTTAATGTGTGTACCTCATAACTTGTTTCTGGGTGAACCGATTTTGATGACTTTTTTTTTATTTGTAAGCTAAAATGCTTCACATGTGGCCCCATATAAATTTGATCAAGGTCTGACCAATAGTTTTTGAGTTATTCTTAATAATTTATATTGACAACGGTTGTACAAAAATTTTAATTTTAAATTATATAAATAAAATTCTAGAGATACATTATACTGATTGCTCAGTGGTGGTGTAAGAATATCCACTACCCCATATTGTCTTGTAGTTGTGGTACACAGCATGTTCCTTAAAACAATCCAGATTATAAAAATCAGTGGATGTCAACCAACCCGTCAAGTGTATATAACTATGGCAAAATTCCTCCATATCATAAAAATAGATTACCTTATAAATCTATGGATGGATGGTACATCATACTAAATGGGCCATATTTTTTTTCACTTGTGCTTCTTGGTCTAGACGGATTTTGAGAACCAGAACTAACTCAGTACCAACCTAGAAACAACGAGAATACCCTGTTTGTTTTGTTAAATTACGGTAAAATGCTTTTCATTCCAGGCAGGCATAGTTCAGATAGAGCGGGCTTCAGCACCAAACGACCACCCCATATTCATAGCTGCGTTAGCCGATGTGGTGGCCAGCCATCTTAGCGGCGGACCGGCGGTTTCAAAGCAGTTCTTGTCCAGGTGGGTAAAATTCAAGGTCAATTCAGAAAGGCTCTTATGGAGATTTGTAGGTTAGTTTTAATAGTATTTTATACACACACCTTGTTAGCCTAGTGGTCGTAAATGTTACTACTGATCATGTGGTACTGGGTTCAAATTCCTGCCGGGCAAATAATCTTACGTCATAAAGCAGCAGAATAATGATGTGAGTATCGTATGGTGAGTGTAGAAAACCGGAGACCCTTTTAATCCGGGATAAATGTAGATGTCTGTGGGCCATTGGCATAGTCATTAGTATATTCGAGTCATGGTAGCTCAGAGACAAAGCACTCACCGTAAATTTCACATTGCGCGAATATACCCAGATTCGAACCCCGCCGTCACCAATAAAATTTTTAAATGCAGATTTACCACATGCTCGGCGGTGAAGGAAAAAATCTTGAGGAATATATTTATTGCTCACGTACTGGAGTCATTACTCCGTAAAACTCAAAATGGAAGTCTGTACGTATTTAAAAAAAAATACATAAAAATGTTTGTCACCTCTTCCAGATGTCCGCATTGCGTAAGCGAAAGGTGCAAAATGTCGAAGGAGTTCTACAGGAAACTCTGCCACACCATAGACACTGACTTCAAACCCGAGAAGACGGCGGTTAGGGCATGAAATTATATCTAAGAACAACCTACCACAAAGTACTCACTATGCAACTATTTAGGTTAGATCCATAGACAAATTTATGAATGTTTTCTTACACAAGATAAGTGACACATGACAAATTGTGTAAGTGGTAGAGCCACGTTGCAACTATATTATGGTTGTAGCACGGATAGACCCGATCGGGGCGGGACCTCGCTCTCACAGAATATAAGTAGCGGCACAAAAGTCTAGCGGTGACTGTTATTGCGCATAAGTCGAAAATAAGATATCATGGGGTAGTAAGAGGGTCGCGAGGCGAGCGTGCATATCGTTCGCACGCGCTGATTGGCTCTCAAGTGCATTCTACGCGGTGATTGGCTCTCCAGTCGCATTCCGCGCGCTGATTAGCTCGCCAGTCGCATTCCGCGTGCTGATTGACTCTCCAGTCGCATTCCGCGCGCTGATTGGCTGTCCATTCGCATTCCGCGCGCTTAGTTGCTCTCCAGTCTCATTCAGGCCCCCTTAGTGATACGTGATATGTGCGTGACAGTACCATGCTCAGCTACCCCTCCACGTTTCGTTCAGCGCTAGACTTACGTGCTGCGACTTGTACTAGCGTCAAATAGCAGCTTAATGCTCGTTTCGTATGGTGAGTGTAGAAATCCGGAGACCCGTTTTACTGGAAACGAGGCATTTCATCTTAGTCCTCACGGCTGACAACGCATATATATGCATTTTGATTCGCAAACGAAGATAGATGTAGATGTCTATGAGCCACAGCAACCATTTACCATCAGGTGGACTGTGTGCTCGTTTGTCACCCTTATCCTATAAAAAAAGATCTATCTAATATATAAAAATTAATGTCGCTTGATTTTATGCGCTGCCATCTTATTTTAGTCCTGAGCGGTGCTTCGTTGTATAATATGAGAGATATTAACACACACAAGTATCAAAAGATGGATTTAAGATGCCATCGTTCTATATACTATCTCCTACTTTTATCATTGTTACAAACTTTTACCAAAACATGAAAAATACTCGATAAATTCGACAAACAGGAAGGTAACGCACCTGATGGTAAGCCATTAATTTTGTCATTAGATCTGTATCCATCCTTGACAGTCCTTGACGGTCTGTATAATATATGCATTCTACGCTGAGGGCTAAGATGGAAAGCTGTGTTATTATAGTAACCGGTTGTCATCATTTGGCATTTCTATATATAAAAAACAGTTGATGTCCGTAATTCTTGCTAAAACACAAAAAAACGGCTCGACCAATTATGATCGATTTTTTGGTGTGTTTTTGATTGGATCTCTGGATGGTTTATATTCATAATATGACCCGGTAGGTGGCGCTGTTGTAGAGATTCAGTAATCACCCGTGTGAAGTTGGGGCAAATCGCTAGCACGGCATCTGCTCTGCATACTGCTAAAATCCGCATAGATATATTATAATCTACATATAAATAAAAATTGAAATGTCTGTCTGTAATATCGAAATCATGAAGCTAATACAAAGGGGAGACGGCATAAGCAACTGTGCACTGTGATTCTAAGTAGGTCCTGACGTCATCGTGTGGGCGTGGCTTTAATTAGTATACTGTCAGCATTCGTCCTGTGCGCTTATGTGTTGAAAAAATCGCAAATCGGTGTATTTTCGTAGTATTAAAAAGAAAAGGATGAAGTGTTGTGTTTTATTGTGTAAAAACTACTCAGATAGACGCTCTGATGTTATGGATGGCATCACATTTCATTTGTAAATAATTTTACATCTAATTTATTAAAATAGTTCTAGAAAAATCTCTGCGTCGGCTTTCAAATATAATTAAATATATTCGACACTAGATGGCGACACTTTGTGTCATGTGAACTAAAAATATGAAGGTCCGTAGAGCTCAGCATTGGTAAAATAATCATACGAAGATGCTGAAAATTGTTTTGCATTCAGACATAAAGAAATTTTAATCGCCAAAGTATTATTTTTATAGTTTATAACATTTTGTGGACATGCCGCCATCTACCGTCAAGGTACCTAAGCTACATTGTAACATCGATATGGAAAGATTCGAGTATTTTTACTATTTATCGGTAGATGTAGATAATATAAAGTGGGCGGGGCTTTGCATCCCGTCACCCCGCAAATTGTCACGCGTTGTTACATAGTGAAATTTAATTACAACGTCTCCTCTCTGTATTTGCTTCATGATCGAAATCTTCTGTTAAGTTCACAAGACATGAATTAAATTTTTTGTTTGCTTGTTTGTCCAGGCTAATTTTAGGAATGACTGGACCGATTGTGATGGAACTTCTCAAACGCATATAGAGTAATGTCAGGTGTGATCTAGGCCATATTTTATCCGAAAACATGCAGGTGTTTCTAGTGAAATCGAAAAAGTAATAGAATAAATGGTTTCTGATGATTATCTCATAAACTATATGAGATATAAAGAAAATGTTTCGTACAAATGGTTTTTGATTTGCAATTTTATACGAAAAAGGTTTACACTTTATCTTCCATCTCTTAAAGTTTTGCGGCTTAATCGATGTTTACATGTTTTTTTGCTGCAGCATCATTTAGTTAAAAAGCATACGGTAGTAAGACCTTTTTAAGTGAAATTAATAGAATTAAAATAAAAAGAAAGGAAAAAAAAACAGATAGTCATAAGGACTGTCTATAGAAGTGAAAAATCAATGATATATGCGTTTACATATACATTGGTCGATATACTACATAGTAGGCATGCTCTATGCGCACAAGTGTAATACGTCACGAGTATGTCGAGGTCATCGCTGACGCGAACCCATTAGTTTTACTCCTACCAAAAGTCGCTCAACACGACTAAAAAAGTTCTTTTATTTTAAATGTACCCCGTTTACCACGTAATTTTCGAGAGTGGGCTTAAAGTGGTTTTTCGATAGTTGAACTGACTTGTCCAAAGACTTCATATGGATCGGCAAGTTTTTTGTGTAAGTTCTTTGCGGGTGCAGTTAATTATGCCCGAGAAAAATTGACGATATCATAATCAGCCAAACGAAGCTCCCACTTTCAATTACGAGAATTTCTAAAGTTAGCATTTAGTCAGTATTTATTTGTTATAGTTATAAATTTTAGTGGCAAGGGACTCAGCATCTAACTCTAAGCTTTGAAAAAGACAGTGATTTGTATATTACTTGGTGTTTATTTTTTTTTAAATAAAATTTGTTACGGATCAAAGTGTTTTATTTAATATTCAATATTGCCATTAAACGTAGTGATTATATTCTATTTGATTGCCATCTATATCATCACAACTTGTGCTGCCATCTGGTGTCGGTCTAAGAGAACAACACCATATGATTCCGTGGGTGTTGTAAAGCCTCGGTCACACAGCGAGTAACTTGCTGTGTGTGACAGGCTATTTGCTGCGAATTGATTCGTTCGCCGCGATTTGAATTGAACATATTCAATTTTACTCTCTGCGAGTAGCCATTCCTACACTTCCGTGCATAGGTCGTTTCGTTGCTGCATAGATACGTGTGTGTAGACTGTAGATTAATCAAATGAGTCAACCAAAATGATTCTCTAAAGTGGGGAAATTACGATATAATTCGTTTCTTGGGTGTGTATAGATAAAATGGCAAGCAGTGGGATACAAATAACAGTAATTAAAAAAAAAACGAAAAAGCCAGAAATCTTCATAAAGTTGTTGTTTAACTGAGATGGGATTCGAAATAGCAACCCGAGAGCAATTGATAGGAAAAATTAACAATATAAAAGATACTTACATAATAAATAATATTATAGATAATTCTCGTGTAGCTCAGATGGTTAGCGCTCGCTGTAAGCTTTACAGTACTCGAGCAACCCGGGTTCGATCTCCACCGACACCAATGAAATTATTAATTGCAATTTTAAGTGCTGATTTACCACGTGCTCGACGGTGAAGGAAAACATCGTCAGGAAACCTGCATGTCTAAGAAATAAGAAAAAAATTCGAAGACATGTGAAGTTCGCCAACACGCATTGGGGCAGCGCGGCGGACATTTCCTTGCTCTAAAACCGTCTCAGAAATGAGAGGAGGCCTGTGCGCAGCAGTGGGGCGTAAATAGGCTGCAACTTTTACTCGCCGTGTGTGACAGGCGGGCAGCACATTGTCGCTGCGAGTGTTATTGCTAGCGACTACACTCGCAGCGAATATTCGCTGTGTGTGACCGAAGCTTAAGACGCGACTATGGGACCTCCCCCCCCCATGATATTGGATGCCCCCTATGAATTTGGAGTATATAATATATACATATATATAAAAAAATACTGGCAGACGTATTTAAAATAGCACATCTCAAAAATATTATTTATTTAAACTGCACCCATGTAGTTTAGAAATAAAAAATAGTTAAAGACTTTATAACGTACGTCGATATTACTTAAAATAATCAGAATTGGGTACTTTTTATAGAAGTAAAATGAGACTAGAAATTGACTTGTAAAATGGTGAAATGTCTCCTCGTTCATCATGGGATGATATGGTGTATTGGATTTTCTTACATCGCCACTAAACGGCGATAATCTCTATATATATACTCGTAAAAACCAATTGCTGTCCATTAGTCTCGCTAAAACTCGAAAATGGCTCCACCGATTTAGATGAAACTTTTTGTGTGTGTTTGGATGGTTTAGATTCACAAATGGACCCGGTAGGCAACGCTATTGTCGAGATCCATAAATCACCTGCCGGGCCGAATCGCTAGTTAGAAATAAAATCAGATTATAAAAAAAAATTGAAATGATACCGCGCTAAAAAATTGCTCTTGGTTGATTTTTACTTTTTATAATTGGAAGTAAAGACTATAAATGAGTTGGGGGGTGACTCGAACTTTAGGTCTAGTCAGTTTAAATAGCCTATCGTGTAGAGGATGTCATGGGGGTCATGGTTGAATAGGGGCAAAAAGTTCTTATTACACTCCTAGGGGGTCAAAATGACCAAAAACCAAAAAATTGGGGAGTGGCTCGAACTTTAAGCACAGTCAGTTTTAATAGCCTATCATGTAGAGGATGTCATCGGGGTCATGGTTGAATAGGGGCAAAAAGTTCTCATTACACTCCTAGGGGGTCAAAATGGCCAAAGTCAAAAAAATTAAAATTCTTATTTCGGCTATAACGCCGCCTCCTTCGGGGGTTCTTACAGTGTTTACTTTCCGCATTCTACTTATTTTAATTAAAGACCTGATTAGATGAAGCAGTATAATTTAAGTTTAATGTTTATTTTTTTGCATTTTATACCTCTGTGGGGTCAGCAAACCCAAATTTTGTTTTAAATTTTTGTTGTTATCAGGGAGACGCTGCTGCTCATCTACTGTTTTATTTCCTTCTGTCACCTCTTAAGACATCCACAGGATGAATTATATATAGTGGATTTATTTACCCCATTTCACGGCGATATGCCTATATGTTTCCCTACTTGCGGGAAAATACCATTTCGATTACACTTGTGTAATCGTTATATATTATTATACCTCACTTTTGAGGAAGTGTGTTTTGTAAATAATTGTTGTTGTTGTTTTTATTATTCGCTCGAGAGAGCAGGCAAAGGAACTATGCCATACAGCCTTGTCTTCATGTATAATTATCCTTCATAGTTCACTGCTTCACAATATGTTGATGCGACACATTGTGCAGCCCTTGGGAGATTTTGACGGCAACTTGAGCCAGCAGGCAGCTGACAGTTGGCAATGGTATCTAAAGGCGCCTATGCAAACAAACATCTTATCTTGAGAATCCATCACCATCAGAGCACTTGTTTCACAGTTTCCACTAATAGTTCACATGCGCTGACACTTAATACACAAAATCGCACCACTTTTACATATCAAAGTCCACTTCAAACCATTATTTAAACAATAATACAGGAGCAGCAAGCCGCCACCGGTCAAGTTCCCGCCAAAAACCCCTTTGTAAATAATTAAGGTGAAAGTGCCAGGGTAACCCGCGAAATTCAAATTTTCTTACGTTTTTTGCAATTTGTAGGTCAGTGTCAGGTAGTATGTTTAACAAAATATGATTTGCGATCGTAATGAGTATGTATTTACAGAATTATAAGCGTCAATACAACAGTCTATGTTCGTATGATCCCATTGTATGGCTATTTCCAGAAAAACTCATTCAAAGGGATTATATGAACTTAATGGGTTGTATTAGTGATTTAAATGATAATAATTCTATAAACACATACTCGTTACGGCCGCAAAACATATTTTATTAAACATACAACCTGACCATGACCTGCAAATTCCAAAAAACGTAAGAAAATTTGAATTTCGCGGGCCACCCTGGAGCTTTCACCTTAAGTTGTAATAAATAATATGATTTTTTTTAATAACTTTTGTTTTTATAAATAAATTACCTGAAATACAATGGGAAAACTATATACATATAAAAATAATTCATCCGCGGCTGGTCGTTGCTGCTGGTGATAAGAGGGCTGGTTCTTTCCTCGCTCAAAGGCTAAGTATAGCCATTCAGCGGGGAAACGCAGTCAGCGTTCTTGGCACGATACCGCGGGGAGTAGGACTATATGATAATTAAGTTTCTAGTTTTAGCTTTTTTATTATCATTACATATAGTTTTTAATATTGTATATAATAAAATATTGTATATTATGTAACATATTATGTTATGTAAATAAATATACTGTACGGATTGAAAAATAACTTGGAACTTTTTAATTCTACGAAAGCTCAGTTTCCAGATCTCTATTTCTCGCGTGATAACATCCGCAATATATTTACAATAAACAATTAGCACTGGCGAGTGGCGATAAACGACTTCCGGCAGGACGGCGGTAATTGTGAGAGCGCACCTCCGCTTCCGTTAATAGAAATACGTTTAGAATATATTGAGCTTAGACCCGTGGTCGGTGCTTTGCTTGCACTACAACATATTTCCGTATTGACGGTGTGGTTGCAGTCTAAGTTGCTGGGTAAGAAATAAAAATCTATCAACCTACTTACACTTACTAGCTGGTGGAACCCTTTTTCTGCCTAGGGGTTCGTCGGGCAGTTACCACCCTTTTACCAATTTCTGCCACCAAATGCTTGCTTGTATTGCTATGTTCTAACCTGAAGGTTATAGAGAGCAAATATAACATTTTTTACGTGGTAGAGCCATGCTGCAGCTATATTAGTAGTATAGTTGTAGCACGAATAGGTCAGCTCGACCGAGGAAGGACCACGCTCTCACAGAATACCAGCATAAAATAGCAGCTTAACACTGCTGTGTTTCGTATGGTGAGTGTAGAGAATCGGAGACCCTTTTTACGGGAATAGAGGCATTCCATCTTAGTCCTCGCAGGTGACAACGCATCTGCATTTTGATTCGTAATCGAGAATAGATGTTGATATCTATGGGTCGCAGCAGCCACTTACCATCAGGTGGACTGTGTACTCCGTTGTCACCCTTATCCTATAAAAGAACAGGCTGTGAGGAATTCCATCCTATTCTTCGGAGGAGACAACGCACTCGTAGTCTTCGTTGTATGAAGACTGCAGTAGTCAAAGTATCAGGTGAAGTGAAAGTTAGTTTGTCACTTCAGTTTTTTATAAAATATGTGTGTGTGTGTACTTATGTACGAACGCAGGAAGTTATACTTCTTTAGCGTAATAAAACAAAAAAAACTTGAGAGACAATTAGCCATTGAAGTTGTCACTTCTAGGTATCAGTGTGCGCGCGCGCTCCGTAACAACTTCATGGTGTTCAATTGAATCAGGTTATACGTTTTTTTTTTAATAGGAGAAGGGGCAAACGAGCACGCGGCTCACCTGATGGTAAGTGACTACCGCCGCCCATGAACAACCACAACACCAGGGGAATTGCAGATACGTTGCCGGCCTTTTAAAAAGGAGTAGGCTCTTTTCTTGAAGGTCCCTAAGTCGTATCGGTCCGGAAAAATCGCTGGTGGTAAACTATTCCACAAGGAAGTTCTGCGAGGAAGAAAACATCTTCTAAATCGCACAGTGGTGGACCGCCAATCATCCAGATGGTGTGGATGGTATCGGGAGTTCTGCCGCGATGTGCGTTCGTGAAATTTGGCGGCTGGGATTAATCCGAACAATTCCTCAGAGCACTCCCCATGGTAAATGCGAAAGAAAATGCTAAGAGATGCAACATCTCTTCGCAGTGCCAATGAGTCGAGCCGATCTCTATCTCTATTAATCTCTACTGTCTACTAATCTACTATCTCCTCCGATGGTAAGTGATGATGCAGCCGAACCGAAAAGCATATTCACTCTTACCTTGAAGACACACTCACATAGATAGACAGTTGCTGGCAAATTATTCCACTGTGAACGTCGGGACCTGTTTGTATCACCGACAAATAATTGTTCCACATTTGGTTTTTTGATGTGGGAGAAAAACGTGGTATTTGAGCCATGATAGTTCAGAGACAGCCCTCACTGTAAATTTCAGAGGCTCTACACGAGTAATCTGGGTATGATCCCGCCGTTTCCGTGGTAGAGCAACGCTGCAGCTATATTAGTTGTAGCATTAATGGGTCGGCTCGACCGGGATAGATTCAAGCTATCACACAATACCGGCGTAAAATACTGCTAACTTAATGCTGCTGTGCTTCATATGGTGAATGTAGAGAACCGGAAACCCTTTATAGGGATCCGCACTCAAAAGTTAACCAACGGGACCCTATTTCTAAGCCTCCGCTCTCCGTCCGTCTGTCTGTCAGCGGGCTGTATTTTAAGATCAGTAATATGTAACAGTTGAAATTTTCACAGAATGTGTATTTCTGTTATCGCTACAACAACAAATAATAAAAATAAAAATTGATAAAAATTAAAAATTAAAGGGGGCTCCCCTACTAGAAATGTGTTTTTTACCTACATAGTATTAAATCTTTTACTATGGTATCGAAACCCGTCATGCGGAAGTCCACATAACATTGTAACTTACAATTCGTAAGTCTTCTTAGTTCTCCGCCATACTTCCTAACAAGTTTTCGCAGACGACTTGAGACGTTTTGCGCGTCTTATGTTTTTTTTTGACAAAATGTCATCTAAAGAGGTTTTAAATATAATTTATAGTCTGGATGTACTAGCTCTAAAAGATCGGCCCGGTTGTAGTCGTGCATGCGCAAAGACTTTAATTTAATATAAAATGCGATATTAATATAAAATAAATATAATAATTTAATATAAAATATCTTAATTTAATCTATACAAACATATTTCTAAATAAAATGTAATAATAATTATTTTATGGAATTCACAAATCTACAATTTACGCAATATTTAGTTTGTATGGATTGCACTACAGTTCAGTTGGACATAGTCAATGTTCGGAATGGCTTCTCTAGTACGTAGTACATATAACTCAATGGTTTAGGAGGAGTTCAGTCACATACACACGGACAGAAGAATTATATACTATATGTATTATACATATAAACCTTGCTCTTGAATCATTCTGTCTATTCGTGCAAACCGCATCAAAATCTGTAGCGTAGTTTAAAAGATCTAAACGTACAGACGGCGGGAAGCGACTGTTTTACTCTATGTAAACTGTAGAGAAACATAGTGATTTTTTAACTCTTTGTAAAATATACTATCGTTGATATATTACCTATATTAGTAAAATATGGCCTCTGTCAAACAGCCAAATGACAAAGAACAATTAAGAAAAATATTATTAATTAGACGTTCTTCCTCTAATTTGTTTTCTTTGTAATTTTTTTTCTTTTTTAATATTTTAGTTTCAATAGGGCAGAGATCGTAGATAGTAAGCGTTAAAGGTAGTGATTAATTATCTGAAGTTTATGATCATCTGCACTAAGCTATTATCATATTATGTATGATAATGATAATTTATCCAAGCCTCAGCATCTATAGCAAAGTAGATAAATATTAATTTATTGTCGAAGAGTACTGTTTACTAATACCACAGAATAAATAATAGTACTAAATAATAGATAGTAAATACTATATATAATGTACTCTGTGGTGACTTTAGTGCTAAACAGGTAAACAGTAGTAATAAAAGCGGAGATCTGTATCTGTAGGCGTCACACAGCTGACGCAACTAGGGGCTGCCATACGTAAAAATTTGCCTAAAATGTTCGACTCTTTACCCGAGCGTGGTGTAATAAAGATCACAATAGTCAAGTTTTATTATTTAATAATAATTTACTAATATGATTTATAAATAATGAAATCATTGAAAATTTCGCCATTTCTCCGTATTCTATATTAGTATAGAGTGAAAGGTTTTTGTAAATCGTGAATTTTCTATACAAGAAAAATTTAGTATTTTATAATTACCCCAATAATAAGTATAAAACATTATCTTAATTAAGTATTTTATTATTTTGTGACGTGTTGTGAGCTCTAGTAGCTTGGTGTTCGCCTAATTTCAAAGGATGCGAACAATTTGTTTCCGATTCCCTCTGGCGAAATCATAAATATTTCGAGCATATATATGATTTTATTTACGTGGTAGAGCCATGCTGCAGCTATATTAGTAATATGACTGTAGCTCGAATGTGTCGGCCCGACCGGGTAAGAACCACGCTCTTACAGAATATCAGCGTAAAATAGCAGCTTAACTCTGCTGTGTTTCGTATGGTGTGTGTAGAGAACTGGAGACACTTTTTACTGGAAACGAGGCATTCCATCTTAGTCCTCACGGGTGGCAACGCATCTGCATTTTGATTCGTAACCGAGGATGGATGTGGATGTATATGGGCCACAGCAACCACTTACCACCAGGTGGACTCTGTGCTCGTTTGTCACCTTCATCCTATAAAAAAGTCCAGTCATTACATTGAAGCAGCACTTTTTTTACTTCAAAATCTTCTTGTATAAGAAACTGTGCTCATTAATGAGACATTTTTATTTTATTGGGTCACAATTGCTTGCTATCTATGGAATAAACGCTATAATCTATATGATTATCTGAAGATTGAAAAATCAGTCCTTAGTTAATGAATGTATGAAATATAATTTTATGTTAGCAAAAATGATTGATATCATCTCAATTATGTTACTTTTTATAAATATTTTGTACAAAGAAACCGTATACCAAATATTTTATTTAATATGTGTGGAATTTCAAAACACTACTATGGCAGCACTATCCCATAAACTTCAATAAAATATTCGCACAAGGCACAAGCAAACAACTTCAGTCAGCAGTTACGTCGTGGAGATACGGATGTGTCTATGTCTGTTTATGTTTTTAATGCGACAAATTAAAATGTAAACAAACAGTATTGTTTTCGAGTGATATTATTTTTAAATTAGACACAATGTCGAAAATAACAAGACCTAGTTCCTTGCGAGTGTTTAGCTTGTGTGTGATGATTTTTGTGTTAAATTACGTAAATTGCAATACATTTGTCAATGAATTGTTGCTAAGTGAACATCATCATGTGCATTGTACTCACGAGCACCCCAAAGAAGATCAAGTAAGTGAAATAAACAGAAGGGTTTAAGTGTAGATATTTTTTCAAAACCTTTTTGAGGTTATGTTAATTCAAAACAACGAATAATCTGTTCATTAACTATTTAATATTACCTATGTTAATTATTATCTGTTTGATACATCAAGCTGATATTTTCATGCTTTCTAAGCAGGAGTTATGTCTACACTTAACTTTCAAGATTTAATAAATGAAAGCAAGATATGAGATCAACCATTGTTAATGCTTCTATAAACAAAACCGTTTAAGTCATTTTATTTGGTAAATATCCTTTATTCGAACGTAGAATTATGGTAAAATTAAACATACTTTTAATGTTTTTATAATTAGCTTTAATCGGTTGAGAAATTAAAAATATTAAAATAATGTTTATCTTTTTAAATCTGGGCTGCATCACACATTTTATTATATATATATACTAGCGATCTGCCTCGGCTTCGCACGGGTGATTTCTGGATATTGACAACATCTCCATCTACCGGGTCCAATGTGAATCTAAACCATCCCGGGACCGGGACCCACTCAAATACAAAAAATTCAGCAGATTCGGTCGAGCCAGTTCAGAGTTTTAGCGAGACTAACGGACAGTTTTAATTTTATATACGTATACGGATTTTACACATTGAAAAATCTCGCGTTAGAATTTAATTTTATTTAGTTGTACACAGTAGTTATTTTAATACTTTGAGAAGCATATCTAACAAACTTTAACCTATAAGTTTCAATTATAAAGCATTGATTAGTTACTATTTACTAAACTCCTTACAGTTGTACAGTAAATAGTAACAGCCCAACACAAATCCATTGCTGAACATTGGCATCCTCAAAGAATGCCACAAAACATGGCTTTAGCCACCAGCATCAATCAACTTCCTGCATCTCTAACCAGGTCGCAAATCATCCAATGGAGGCCTTTCTACATTTCGCTTACCGGTACGACTCTACGACGACATACTCGAGAACTTTTCTTCTCCATAGGTTGTCGGTACTTCGAGTTATATAAACATCATATTGCCACAGCTTACTGATTTGTAGGACTATGTCGGTTACTCTGGTTCTACTTTGGATATCGTCATTATGAAGTCTATCCAGCGGAGAAACTCCTATGCTAGGACTTTCCATAGTGACCTTAAACTTCCTCATACGGCCAGCAGTGAAGGACAACGTCTCAGATCCGTTACGTTATCATTCGCATTATGCACCGGTGGTACTCTCTTGTTTTCCAGTTTTGCGAGTAAATGTGGCAAGAATGTGTGTGCCGTAATCTCCCGAATGCTGCCCAGCCGTGTAGGAGCAATCGACCTTTCGGTCGAGGTTGGACTTACCTGGTCGGACAATTCGTCCTAGGTGAACTTCGTTGACAACTTCGAGGGTGTTACCAACGACTCCGATAGATGTGATTTGAACGTTACCCATGACCTTCGTCTTGTCCATGTTCATTTTAAGACGTATCAGTTTGGATACACTATTGAAGCTATTGAGCATAGTGCTGAGGTCTTCCACGATTCTCCCCAAATGACCATATCGTCGGCAAATCGAAAGTTAGTGATGTACTCGCCGTTGATGTCGATATCGTATTCTTTTCAATACATTAGCTTGAAAACGTCTTCTAACGCAGCGTTTGAAGAGTTTCAAGGATATAACGTCACCCTGTCTTACACCCCTCACTCCCTCAGCAGGGCTAGCATGGGCAGGAGATTTCCCCAGGGATAAAATTGTCCCCGGGGGAAAGGAGAAAATGTTTATCCCTTCCCTTAGTTTTATCCACCCTTCGAGCATGGGCACACCGGTGGATATAATATCCACAGTAGATAAAATGGCAGATAGACTTAGACTTAGATAGAGTTTTTGTATGAATATAAACTTAAACCCACGTCCAATGAACTAGGATAAATGTGTCCCTTTCAAATGTCAAAAAAAGCATAATTTTTTATCTTTCATTTGGCTCCATGCTATGGACGGGGAATATATTAAGTCTACTCGTCGTGTCAAACGGGGATATACAGTATACTTCTCCCCGTTGCCGTGTTTTGGCATAAGGACAAGATAATTTTATCTATTGTCTGTGGATATAATCGGGGGGTAAATTTTTTGTCCCCAGTCCCAGCCCGTGCTGCAGTAGAATAGGTTTCGTTCTCTGGTTCTGCATCCGGATAGCTGTCACTGCCACAGAACAAATAATCGTAGTTCTATTGTACAAAGACTTCTATATATACATTGTACTATATAAGTAGAGAGTCACGCAATATAATTTTTAAAAAGTAATTTTGACGCTACCCACAGAAAACCCGATATCTAATGTAGATATCTGATTATTATTGGGTTTTTCTGTCACCGAATTATCTCTCCGTAGCAGCGTGGTGACAGGAAGTTATCGATGTTTCATCCCCGTACTTCGGAAAGTACGTAATGTACTTTCCGAAGTTTCCCTGTTGGTCCTGCGCCTGATCTCTCTCCGGCCGTGTCTATCTATATTATATATATATATATATATATATATATATATATATATATTATATATAAAAATTATTATATATTATATATATAATAATTTTTATTTTAAAAGTTTTTTTTTAAGTTACAAAAATATTATATTCTTAACACCGAATTTCGGTGACGGCGGCCAGTCCCAACGGACTGCGCAGGACAGGATTATAGTGTCCAAGTGTATTGACTATCTATACCCTCACTCTCGCAGTCCGATGATACTGCAGTATCATCGGACTGCGAGAGTGAGGGTATATATATATATATCCAAGTGTATAGATAGTCAATACACTTGGACACTATAATCCTGTCCTGCGCAGTCCGTTGGGACTGGCCGCCGTCACCGAAATTCGGTGTTAAGAATATAATATTTTTGTAACTTAAAAAAAAAACTTTTAAAATAAAAATTATTGCTCGCAAACTGGCTAGTTACATGTTACAAAAGATTTGAAAAAAAAAATCGCTCGTATTATTCTTTTGGATCTAATCTACTAAGTTGCGAGATATCTTAAAAACAGCCTATCAGCTTGTAATTGAAATACATAGAAGGGAATTAAAATAAAGTCAATTCTGAGATGAAGAAAGGAAATTTTAAATTATTTAAAAAGCTATATACATCACAAAAAAAAATCACAAACAAAAATCACTAAAACATAAAATAAAATAAGAGTTTCTTAATAGGAAATGTGGGTGGCCTTTTCGCCATACAAACGATCTCGCCATTTTTCTTGTTTTTGACCTTATATCAATGAGTTTTACAGTAAATAAATATCAACCTCTTCTATGTGCCTATGTTTTCCTTTTTGATGATACATTATATTTATGAGCACTGCTGCAACCCTTACAAATTGCTCAAAATTGCCTATTTAGAGCATTGTCAACAGAGGCGTAGCGTTGAAATTTGATAATTAATATTGAAAAAAGAAAAACATAGCGACACAGTCCTTCTTGTACAGTTTATGAAATATTTTAGGAGGAAATAGTAGAGAGCCAAACCTCGAATTATGCCTTTTTACTTAGGCTATTCAGTCGGATCTGCGACAGCGATAGTTTCTTCAAATATCTAATTGTCAAGTCTCTCGGCCCGCATTTTCTCTTAAGGAATATAAGTTAGCTTTTGTTGAAATTAAAATTTATTTGTTTGTACAAAAGTTCTCAACTCCATTACTAATTATGACAAGCACGTGCCTCTAAGTGAGCGCATGTAGGTACTTGACACTTTAATATCTTCTAATCATGTAGTTGGTATATAGTTGATATAGTTGGTAGATGGCTTCCGACGGTCGGATGTTGTCGCTCGCGCCGAAATCGAATCATATATTTTTTCTTTTTCTTTCTCGAGTGGGCACAGATCCTATCCCGTTGAGGCGCTGCTAAACATCGTTTTTTTTTCTATTGTGGAAATGGAGATACTTGATTTTCTAGATGGAGCGTTTCCTTGCTGCGCCTAGAAGCATCGTCATCAATTAAACCATTTGCCTATCAAGCTTTCGCACTTTCACACTCAATTGCGCGTTTGTTTATTCTGAACGCATATTTATTACATGCAAATGCGTGTCAACATCGCAGTCATTGGAACGTGACACTACACTAGTATAGAACTGTTGTTAATATAAGCACAGAATAAATAATTAAAAATTAAAAATTTTATACAGCCGACTTCAATATAAGTTATTAAGAATAACTCAAAAACTATTGGTCTGACCTTGATCAAATTCATATGGGACCACACGAGATGTACCAGCTTTCAAATAAAAAAGAATCATCGAAATCGGTTCACCCAGTAAAAAGTTATGAGGTAACACACATAAAAAAACATACAGTCGAATTGAGTACCGTCTCCTGTTTGGAAGTTGGCAGATAAAAGTACAAGAAATAGAAGAAGTCTTAGTAAGACTATATATTATTATATATGTACTACTTACTATATATAATATTATTAACGCTTGTTAACTCTATCGGATGGACGAATACACTCGAAAGTGTTATTTGTCATTATCACTATCCCATATCGTCCCGTGGGTGTCGTAAGAGGCGACAGAGGGAAACAAACCAAGAACATGGACAGCGGCGTCTTTCTAATCACACCTAGCCAGGTGTGGATACTATTGCAAATGTCGTCCTTTTAATGCAATTTATGTGCAGGCCTATATTCAGTAGTGTACTTTGACAGGCTGTAATGATGATGATGACTATCCAAAGCAGTAAATTTTGGGTAAGGTGCAACCAAGCTTGGACCTTTTTTAATGGGAAAACTCATATATGCATACCCGCATTGTGGGGGCAATTACGGGTTATGTCGGTCCCGCAACGACTAAAGGCCCTGGTGTTACACCTTCGCCGCATATCGACAGGTTCATAGAAACGTTTCATCTGCTACAGCCGCCCCATGGCGGTCCGTCCTTGATAGAGAATAATTTCTGCTCCTATCACCACTATTTGCGGAAATACACCAAAAGGTTGTCTTTAAAAATCCCTTCGACACTATCACAACGCGC